GCTGTGTAGACATTATAGTGGACAATTGCCTCATTGAAAATTAGTGAGTTATACAACATCTATATTTTATAAGATAATTTGTTGGATTTCACGATTTTACGATGAATCTGGTCACATTTACCAAAGTGTTTGCGATCATAATTTCCTTGTTATAAGATTACCGCTTACAAGGAAGGAACTGTGCCAATTGTTCTCTATAGAACAGATATGGTCGGGTTATATCGTTAGAAACTATATATACAGGTATTGTACTTTATAGAACAGATATGGTCGGGTTATATCGTTAGAAACTATATATACAGGTATTGTTCTTTATAGAACAGATATGGTCGGGTTATATCGTTAGAAACTATATAAACAGGTATTGTACTTTATAGAACAGATATGGTCGGGTTATATCGTTAGAAACTATATATACAGCTATTGTACTTTATAGAACAGATATAGTCGGGTTATATCGTTAGAAACTATATATACAGGTATTGTACTTTATAGAACAGATATGGTCGGGTTATATCGTTAGAAACTATATATACAGGTATTGTACTTTATAGAACAGATATGGTCGGGTTATATCGTTAGAAACTATATATACAGGTATTGTACTTTATAGAACAGATATGGTCGGGTTATATCGTTAGAAACTATATATACAGGTATTGTACTTTATAGAACAGATATGGTCGGGTTATATCGTTAGAAACTATATATACAGGTATTGTACTTTATAGAACAGATATGGTCGGGTTATATCGTTAGAAACTATATATACAGCTATTGTACTTTATAGAACAGATATGGCCGGGTTATATCGTTAGAAACTATATATACAGGTATTGTACTTTATAGAACAGATATGGTCGGGTTATATCGTTAGAAACTATATAAACAGGTATTGTACTTTATAGAACAGATATGGTCGGGTTATATCGTTAGAAACTATATATACAGCTATTGTACTTTATAGAACAGATATGGCCGGGTTATATCGTTAGAAACTATATATACAGGTATTGTACTTTATAGAACAGATATGGCCGGGTTATATCGTTAGAAACTATATAAACAGCTATTGTACTTTATAGAACAGATATGGTCGGGTTATATCGTTGGAAACTATATATACAGCTATTGTACTTTATAGAACAGATATGGTCGGGTTATATCGTTAGAAACTATATATACAGGTATTGTACTTTATAGAACAGATATGGTCGGGTTATATCGTTATAAACTATATATACAGGTATTGTACTTTATAGAACAGATATGGTCGGGTTATATCGTTAGAAACTATATATACAGCTATTGTACTTTATAGAACAGATATGGTCGGGTTATATCGTTAGAAACTATATATACAGCTATTGTACTTTATAGAACAGATATGGCCGGGTTATATCGTTAGAAACTATATATACAGGTATTGTACTTTATAGAACAGATATGGTCGGGTTATATCGTTAGAAACTATATAAACAGGTATTGTACTTTATAGAACAGATATGGTCGGGTTATATCGTTAGAAACTATATATACAGCTATTGTACTTTATAGAACAGATATGGCCGGGTTATATCGTTAGAAACTATATATACAGGTATTGTACTTTATAGAACAGATATGGCCGGGTTATATCGTTAGAAACTATATAAACAGCTATTGTACTTTATAGAACAGATATGGTCGGGTTATATCGTTGGAAACTATATATACAGCTATTGTACTTTATAGAACAGATATGGTCGGGTTATATCGTTAGAAACTATATATACAGGTATTGTACTTTATAGAACAGATATGGTCGGGTTATATCGTTATAAACTATATATACAGGTATTGTACTTTATAGAACAGATATGGTCGGGTTATATCGTTATAAACTATATATACAGGTATTGTACTTTATAGAACAGATATGGTCGGGTTATATCGTTGGAAACTATATATACAGGTATTGTACTTTATAGAACAGATATGGTCGGGTTATATCGTTAGAAACTATATATACAGGTATTGTACTTTATAGAACAGATATGGTCGGGTTATATCGTTGGAAACTATATATACAGGTATTGTACTTTATAGAACAGATATGGTCGGGTTATATCGTTAGAAACTATATATACAGGTATTGTACTTTATAGAACAGATATGGTCGGGTTATATCGTTAGAAACTATATATACAGGTATTGTACTTTATAGAACAGATATGGTCGGGTTATATCGTTGGAAACTATATATACAGGTATTGTACTTTATAGAACAGATATGGTCGGGTTATATCGTTAGAAACTATATATACAGGTATTGTACTTTATAGAACAGATATGGTCGGGTTATATCGTTAGAAACTATATATACAGGTATTGTACTTTATAGAACAGATATGGTCGGGTTATATCGTTGGAAACTATATATACAGGTATTGTACTTTATAGAACAGATATGGTCGGGTTATATCGTTAGAAACTATATATACAGGTATTGTACTTTATAGAACAGATATGGTCGGGTTATATCGTTGGAAACTATATATACAGGTATTGTACTTTATAGAACAGATATGGTCGGGTTATATCGTTGGAAACTATATATACAGGTATTGTACTTTATAGAACAGATATGGTCGGGTTATATCGTTGGAAACTATATATACAGGTATTGTACTTTATAGAACAGATATGGTCGGGTTATATCGTTAGAAACTATATATACAGCTATTGTACTTTATAGAACAGATATGGTCGGGTTATATCGTTAGAAACTATATATACAGGTATTGTACTTTATAGAACAGATATGGTCGGGTTATATCGTTAGAAACTATATATACAGGTATTGTACTTTCGCCATCACCACTTGGTTGATTTCATATAATGACCACAGATGTGTAGCATTTGTTGTCGGCACAACCCTGTCCTCTTTTCGTCTTAATAACTTATCACCAAATACCTCTTGTCAACCTATTTTAACTTGTCATGATTAAAAAAAGAAGTTGGTGCCACCAGTAGAACAGGAATTATGTTCTTAGCGCATGAGTTCTACGGATTTTAGTGAAATTCATGATTTTCTATTTATGATATTGTTGTCGTTATATATGCTAAGATCACCTCACGGTCATTGTGTTGTTTGTGTGATCTCATAATTTAAAGTAATAGCAGGTACATGTATAACTGTTGATTTGCTATACTAAGATCACCTAGAATAAATTTGATAGCAAATATCAATCATTCATTTTTCCCATTAACATTATTTCAAATTTGAAAATATATATGAAATATGAAATTCAAAATGAAGTAGGTATTGCAATCCTTGGTTCACATATCTCAAATAATCCTTCCGCTCAAACCCACCACCAAAATTGTATCAAAATGTCTATTATATAAATAATTATATTTTTCAACCCTTTGAAAAAAGAGATGAGACGTCGTATCGATTATTACAATATTAATCTTGAATATTGAATATTGAATAATTGTGAATTTGCAAATTAAATAGTCATAAAAAATATAAATGAAAATGATTTGTTACCTGATTATTTGTCGACAATAGCCATCCGGGAGTGATGCTGCAATGCATGTTTTTAGCAAAGCCAGAAATGTGCTCAACCAGTACACAGACATATTCCACGGCAACGAAAAATGTAAATGAAGTGCGGAAACTCATTATTATTGTACTTTGACCATTCGATTACTTCCTTAAAAGTATGTTTTTCGTAAATTGATTTGTTAGTTTATTCAATTGAATTGTTTCATATTTTTCATGTCGGGGCCTTTTATAGCCGACTATACGGTATGGGTTTTTCTCATTGTTGAAGGCCGTAAGGTTGCCTATAATTGCTTACATCCACTTTATTTGAACTTTGGTGGATAGTTGTCTCATTGGCAATCATACCACATCATCTCCTTATTTTTATAATATATACATGCACGTTTAAATTAAAATTTAATGTTTGTGGATATGTTTTTAAGTTTTTTTAAGCTGTAATTTCCTCTGCACTTCATAACATAACAAAAGAACACACAGAAAATTCTAATTCTTATTTGCAACATGAAATAGACTGTGAACAAGTGGATATTGCTATAGTTATGTCACTTTTAAAATAAGGAGATGTGGTCTGATTGCCAATGAGACAACTATCCGCGACGTGAACTTCAACACTGAGTAGAATCTATACCGTCTACAAATTTATAAAAGGCCCCGACATGACAAAATTATGAAACAATTCAAACAGCACGATTTACTACTCGTTTGTTTGTTGTTTTAGCTTCAAAAGACGGAACGAGATGCATAGAATCAAACATAACTGGTGAAATACTTAATTGTATTATTGTATAAAATTCAAGGAAAATAATATCAATAGATACAGTATTGATAACATTAATTTGTATATTTGAGAAGAAAACGATATTTTGTGGAAATAAACTGAATCATAAAAAATACTACAAATAAATATAGTTGCTCAATTCTTCATGACATTCGAGTTCATAATTTATGGTCTGAAAAATGTCATTGATATAATTAATATGGGGCATTTCACAGGCGGTGACTTATTTCTCTAATTTGGGTCATTCTATTTTTTTTTTTAAATAAAATAAAGTTGACGTGAAAGATATTGGTTTAAAAACCCAATGAAAAACGTTCAATCATATTACTATATAATTAAAACTTTGGTACATGTATCAAGTGTATAAGATTAAATGAAATATTTCTTTAAAGATACACAAATACACAACTGTAGGTGTTGTACATTGTCTATTCACATGCATAGATCTATGATATATTATATTATATAAACATGATAAATATATTTGATTTATTACTTTATATCACAATTGAAGCAGAAAAAAAGTTTAATATTAACACTGAAACCAGGAAACACTAAGGGGAAACTAATTTTGCTTATAGAACTCTTAAAAAGGGACATCTACAATTGATGTATATTATCGATTTGACCTTAGAATTACTATTTTTACAAGTCACTTTAACCCGGAAGTATTCTTTATAATGGATTAAATTTTCTGAAAATCGTTACATACTTTCAGATGCTACAATGGCAATCTATCGTAAGTAGATGTAATTTAAAGATATGTAAATATTGAATGTATAATATACATTTAATTTTTTCATATTTCAGTCAATGTTTATATATATATATTTCCTTTCTCATTAATGATAGCACTTTACAATGCTTCAAAATGCTTCTACTTTCGATTTCGATTCCCACTACGGTTCTTGTCCAACCCTTAAATGCAGAGACATATATACATGTCTCTGCTTAAATGTAATGAATTATGAATTTACAGTAACTTATCTTTTAGTAAAAAAATCATAATGTGAAATTATTCTAGAAGTAAAGTAAGAATTACCTGAGTATGCAAACCCCTATTTGCCCAATCCATTTTATAATCATTAATACATGTTATATATGTATATGTACGTGTTCATCATTTTCCGACTTCTAAAAACTACACGGAAAAAGAGATTTTAGAAAATCACATATTCGTCTTTCTCATTTTTTGCCATTAACATAAAAATGACGATGAAAATATCCTGTCTTTCTACCATATCTACTGGTTACCTAAACTTAAACTTCACAAAAATCCTTATAAATAACGATATACATGATATATACCGGATCGTCCAGATGTTCTTACTACCATTCTTTCTACACTAATAGATGGCCTTTAGGTATATTCAAATAATGGTGTCAATTAGATGTAGATTCTGAAAAAAAATTCTACAGCTCGTCTTCAAAATCTTTGATCCCAACCTCTACAATTTTGCAGTTATATATATAAAAAATAAAATCTATGCTTTTTACTACTATTCCTCATGTTCAATCGACTTCATATTTTCATTAAAACAGTGCCTGTTCTACAAAATGGGAATCACAGGTGCAAATTCCCTATTTAAGGTCATTAAAAGGTTGTGGAGATAGAACAACACTGATCCCAACAAGAAATACACCAATGATAATATCATCAAAATGCTCGACTTATTGTTCAACATATTTGAAGAGTTGTGTAGATTTATTTTACAACTGACAGATGAAGTTCCAATAGATCCCGGTTCTTATTGTGCACCCCTATTTGCCAACTTGTTTCTGAACTCAATGAAGCAGTATACAGAACCTTCTCAAAGACAAAAAGACAAATCTTCTTGCAAAGTTCTTTAATGTCCCTTTCATATATATTGATGATGTTCTGTCACTCAATAACTCCTATTTCAGAGAGAGTGTGCATCTCATATATCCCAGTAACATTAAGAGTAACGATTCTACTGAAACTAAAATTTATGACAAACGTGATCATTTCAACTTTCAAATCTGGAACTTCCCACTTCTCAACAGTAACATATCCTCTGCTCCATTGCATGGCGTTTACATATCATAGTACGCCACGCTCGTGTCATTTCACACTACATACGCAATTCATTTACAGAGGTGTGCTCCTTACACAAAAAGGTACAGAGTTATTAGGAACAAAGACCGAAATCGACATTACATAATTCTAACAGACACCGTCACTTATTGATTAACCGATACAATGTGTTATTGTCTCAACTCACTAGCGACAGGTTTTCGAGATCTTAGATCTCGAAATACCAGAATGGTCGTTTCACGTGTAAATTAACCGATTGTGTACCATCTCTGATTGTTACATCTTGACTCAGATGTGATTCATATGCATGGCGGTTGATGTATGCATAGTAGGAAACGCTTTCCCTGTCGACACCCCATTTATCGCTACTTAATTTTAGAGTTTGTGCGATTCCTTCAGTTACCTTAATATGTTTTTTCCTAATGGATTTATGAGTTTAGAACATCTGTTAACTATTGCCTCTATTTTTCTTTGTTTCCTGCCTGAGCAAAACTAGGATGATTAGGCAAGTAATATAATTTTGTAATAATTTGAAATAAATATTTTTCATAGATTAATTATAAAGGGAAGTGGTGTCCATTATCGGTGCTGAACTAAGAAAGTAAACAATGTGGTCTAGGGTTGGCATGGCAATTTTAGGTAGACAGAGAGGCAAGCCAGACAACTATATCTATTTATCTTGCACATTTTATTGTTCTAGACTCTTAGTAATTTAGATTAACAAGTTGAGAGAGTGTAGAGGATCTGTTTGATTGTGACTTCATTTCTGTAACCTTTTAATTTTTCTGTTATTCTGCTTTGTCCATTATTCCCTTTTCTTTATATTTTAGCACTCCATGATTCTCCTTTTTTTATACTTAGGCGCTTAATTATTATTTTATTACATGTATTCTATTCGTTTTTTTTATTATTATTTTCCATTCTGTCAACCTTATTTGGACCCTCTTGTACATACACCTGTCTTTGTTCATGGAGAGGGCTTATATATGCTTTGCCTGTTGTCCAATCCAAATAAAATTGTTTGAATAAAATACTGTTTTAACTAAACAACTGACAATTGTTGAAGACCATTATGTAGTCGGTGATATTGTACTGTTGGTCTTGGGTTTCTTTCTCAATGACGTTACACCAACATCCCCTTTTTAGCTCACCTGGCCTAAAAGACCAAATGAGTTTTTCTCATCACTTGGCGTCCGTCGTCCGTCGTTGTCCGTCGTCGTAAACTTTTACAAATATCTTCTCCTCTGAAAATACTGGGCCAAATTCAACCGAACTTGGCATCAATCATCATTGGGGTATCTAGTTAAAATCTGACATGGGATTGTTCATTAGGTCAAGATCTATCTGTCCTGAAATTTTCAGACACATCAGACAACCCGTTATTGGGTTGCTGTCCCTGAATTGGTAATTTTAAGGAAATTTTGCAGTTTTTGGTTATTATCTTGAATATTATTATAGATAGAGATAAACTGTAAACAGCAATAATGTTCAGCAAAGTAAGATCTACAAATAAGTCAAATGACCAAAATAGTCAATTTTTAACAATTTTTTGTAAATTTTTGTAATCTTTTACAAAAATCTTCTCCTCTGAAACTACAAAGACAAATTTAACCGAACCTGGCCAAAATCATCATTAGGGTATCTAGTTTAAAAAATGTGTCCGATGACCCCGCCAACCAACCAACATGGCCGACATGGCTAAAAATAGAACATAGGGGTAAAATGCAAGTTTTGTCTATTATTTTTTGAACCATTATAAAAAGAGAAAATCTGAAAGGAGCAAAATGTTCAGAATAATGAGCTCTACCAATTGTCTATATACATCAAAACTGTTAGACAAATTCTTATAGGAGTTATAGCCCATAAATGACAAATTTTACCATTTTTTTCATTTTTGCCTATTATATCATTTTCCGTTATGCCTTATATGATTTAAATTATAATATTTAGATAAACACTTTAAATCACAAAAATGATCAGCAAGGCAAGATCCATTAAAAAGTCAAATTTTGACGATATAGTTAGTAGACTGTCACTCTTCATAGGAGTGATTGCCCTTAAATGAGGATTTTTTTTACCCTCTTTTGTGTTTTGAGCAAAAACTAAAGAAGATAGAGAAAAACTAAACAGACTAAAAGATCAGTAATACAAGATCAACAAAATAGAGATTTTTGTCTTTAAGTCTATTCTCGTCTACAAAGTTGGAGAGTGTCCTTAGTTTGATATGCACATAGACCAAGGTGAGTGACACATGCTCTTTGGAGCCTCTAGTTTCCTATTGTAATAGATAAAATAACATTTATCGAGTCTCGTAAAGTTTCAATGAACTCTTGTCACAATTAAAGCAAGTTTCAATTGAGATATGCCGTACATGTATACTAGTAATTGAAAGTGGAAATAGCAAAAATAGCAAATATTAGTTCTGATTGAGGAAGCAAGAACGTTGTCATCGAAAAGTCCAAAGGCTAAGTACATATTTCTATAAAAAAAGCAAAAAGACATCAAGCACATGTCTAAGAAAACTTAAATCTAGTTCAAAGTCCTATTTCTACCATAAAGTAGATCATGTTTCCCGGAAATATCTACTAGTTCACGTCATAGGAATTCACTTTTGAAACGTCGACATGAGGATAGTTTTTAAGAATTTAAAAAAAAGTAAGGATTACTTGATTTTCTAAAAGAAATTGATAATTATTCCTAGACTGGGACATACTATATTCGTTGTCCTTTTTCCTGATACCAGAATGCATACGATACAGCAGCAAGGACTTTGCCAGGGATATTGACGTCGTGTTGAGAACAGTCAATCAAATAAGGAAAATAATGATGTCCTTTAATTTATAAAAAAAATCTTTAATTGTTCTTTTTTTCCAGTATTATTAATATGAAGTGATTAAAGAATTTCTGCCAACGTTTGTTGAAAAAAAATCAGTTTTAAGATATCTGAATTTTTACAAACCTGCAAAATCTTTATAGAAAACCATTTGAAATTCCAAAAGTTGTCAAATTGGAATTCCATTTATATAGTTTTCCTCTTCAAGTAGGCTACACTTAACTGAAATCCTATAAAATCAATTATAAATTTATATCAAAAATATTTAAAACAAAATTAAAAGAGCAATTTAGTTGAATCAGATCTATAGACATTTCTTTTCAAGGTATAATTTAAAACCTTTTTCAATTTGATGAATATATATGTTAAATCTATTTGATATGATTTTTTTACATTGTAGTTCGGCAATACCGATTTCTGTGTGCAGCCTGAACATGAGCTATCACCATGAAAACAATCATTATTTTCATTTTCGTAAGTACGCATTTCTGTCACATGTATATTTTGCTGTCTACAATATGATTATTAAGCCAAAACGTATATTTCTTTTGATCATAATCAGTTTGATATATTTGTCTGCGTTTTGCATATATATTTCATACTGGTGTATCCAGTATGGTCAAAACATGGAAGTATTATATAATACTTCAATGATAAAAAATTTGACCATTGTCATCCTGATTACTTCAAAATGTATATATGCCATATTCGTGTTACAACATTTGCAAAACAATTACAATTCATGCTTCAATTAACATAAGTCAACTTTTAAAAATGAGCAATTAGAATAATTATGTTAACGTTGTAGTAGTAGTTTACTGATGTCCAGAACTGGTAAATCCCTTGTGAAAGACGTATAATATTGAATCACATTAATGAAAAACAGGGTGTGTCGAGACAGGATAATATTTACATTAGAATGAAACAAGGAAAATATACAGTACAATGGGAAATTTACCTCTTTTTCTAAAGGATTATTTACAAACTAAGTACATGAATTATTGTAATATCGCATAATCAAACTTTTGATTATTGCAGATTTTCGCCGCCTGGATCATTGGAACCTTGTCTACTTTTAATTTGAAATGTCCACAGTATGTACAACGATATATTCGATCACAACAAGTTTGTCCAAATCATCCGTTGTATTATTCCTGTCTATGTAATACTGAAAATACAACATGTAGCACTGGAAACGAAGAAATCATTCATGAATACTGCAACGATAAGCCTGAATTCGCTGGGATTGGTAAATAATATAGAATGCATGGTTATCAAATTAAATATTATATATTTTTATATACTTTTCTGCCACGTTTAGTGATTTAACTTTTCAAGTTTTAAACTTATTATATATGTGAATGAATGCATCTTAATATTTCGCAGAATATTTAAAACATCTTACTTTGTCACTATCTAATTACCCACAATTAAAGTTTCTAAATAAATGACATTCCCTGGAAGGAACTTTTGTATTCATGTTATATATTTAAGTTATGATCCTAAATGTTTAAAAATGCAACAATACAGTTTTTATCATGTTGATGCGTTTTCATTTATATGTTAATCTGCAGGACAAAAGTATGTATGGTCGGGTGGACTAAGAAATATTGAATGTTCCTCTGAAAGGTTCCAGCCACCTGGATTTAATTTGTGGCAGAATGTAAGCAGTCAGTGTATTTATCTAAAATCATTCTGTAATGAAGAAGGCCAAGTAATTCACATCAACGGTTCAGCAGAAAAAGACGTTTCTTGTAGATGTGACCATACTAAGGGATATGACTTTGTGACTAATATAACGGACAAATCTAGCTGCAAACCATTGGAGAAAGATTGTTCTTGTTACGTGAAAAAATGTTTATCTAACGAAAACTTATCAAAGGGTAAATGTAAAAAATTATATACATGTACATATATATATATAAGAGAGGGACGACAGATACCAGAGGGACAGTCAAACTCATAGATCGAAAACAAACTGACAACGCCATGGCTAAAAATAAAAAGACAAACAGACAAATAATATCACAGATGACACAACATAGAAAACTAAAGACTCAGCAACACGAACCCCACCAAAAACTTGGGGTGATCTCAGGTGCTCCGGAAGGGTAAGCATATACTGCTCCACATGTGGCACCCGTCGTGTTGCTTATGTTATTACAAATCCGGTTAATAGTCTAATTCGGTAGGTCACATTCGTGAAAAGGGAAGGGTATTGTAGTTACGACATAAGAAACATATCCGATATCATCTGTGAAACGGTTATTCCGTAACGGTCTAATGATATATTATTCTCTAAACTAAAGCATCGATCTCTCCTGACGAATTGAATCATATCTGGACATGTGTCATAAAGTTAAATATAAAAGAGCAATGATAGCAGAAAGTTTAATTCTGACATCACACTTTACATCTGATGTGTCTGTCATTTATAGTTTTGATTATCTGAATGATTCATTACTGAACTTAGTTATGTTTGTCATATTGTATCTTTTATATTTAGATTCGTTACCATCGATGACAACATAATGTAACACCAGCGAATTTCGGCAAATAATAGGACTTATCAGTATATTTCAAACAGGAAAACTATTGATATATTGTGGATATTCAAAGCTTGATTTCATTTTTAATTTCTAAAACTATATTTCAGACTACAGTTGCATTGCTTCAAATAACAAAAATACAGTATCACAAGACCAACAGATTCCTTCTTCAACCAGGTAAGCAATTTGATATCAGTTTAAGAGATAACTTTCTTCATCCTACCTCTTCAATAAAAATAATTAATAAACATCTTCAAATTCTTCCTGTAAATAAATCAATTCAATTCAATGTTTTCTTAATTCGTTTGGGAGGGCAAAAGCAAGGAACAATATTCTATAATTAGGTATACTTTATATTGCAGGCAACCAATAGTAGAACCACAAGATTTGATGTTCAATATAACAGGTAATATTTTGATTGGTACTTTAAAAAGCTATTGAACCAAAAGTTTCTAAAGGGTAAAAGTCTTCTTTACTGGCTGATCAACTAAAAGCGTGTGACAATTGATATGCACCAATGTTTCTCCACAACTATATCAATGAAAACAGATACGGTCTTAGTAGTAATTCATGTACACCTTGCAGGGGCGGATCTAGGATTTTAGGTTAGGGGGGCACAAACTTAAATTTTCGACGAGTGGAGCGAGGCGAAAAGTTTTTTGAGGTAAAATTATCGAAATATTCTTTATTAAGCTGAGGACAACCCATGCTTTGCAAATTTTAGGGGGGGGGGGGGGGGCGCACGCCCGCGCGCCACGCCCCCGCCTGAATCAGCCCCTGCCTTGTTTGGACTTCTCCTACATAAACCTTATAAACACTAGAAAACGACTAAGATCACAAACTTCAATAAGGAATGTTGATATTGGACGTTAATAAAAAAATGTAGTATGTATTAGAAAACTGTATAAACACACACATGTGCACACTATAAAAAAACTCACACATATGCACACTATAACAATGATCACAGTACAACGCTGTTTTTCTATTCATTTATAGATAGGTATAAAAACTGAAAGTAATTTGTCTTTCAATACTACCGAGAGACACACTAGTTTCGACCTAAAACTGAGAAAACATTTTGAAATGCGTTATACAAATGGTCGTGCAAGATCATCCCTCCCCAACTCAAGTATATACTGTCGAAGTTCAAAGTTGATAGATATAAAACAAAAAGTCCGAAATAGCTTTCTATCACGTTCGAAATGTGGTCTAGACATAGAAGTGGAAAGAACAAAGTGTGAAAATATTATTTAAAAATAGTACATTCATTGCAAACTGATATTGAAACAAAAATATCAAATAATTATTCTTGTGTATGACGTAAAACATGATTTAATTCAAAGTTCGTGCATATGATATTATTCTGTGAGATTTTGAACATTACAAGGTACGAGACTTTCATTTCATCTCATCGAACATACAAATCCAAATTCATTCTTTTTCTGACTATGTCGACCGTATAGTCTATTTCTAAATTGAAACAGCTTATCATAGGTATAGATGGATAAGTTGATACGTAGTTACTTTAACAAACATGCTGGACAATACAGAAGACTGGTTCTCACACATGGTAACAAAAATAATTACTGATGTAGGGCGAATAAAACAGATGTAGCCAGTGCTTCGCTACTCATGAAAATACGAATAGTGTGTTACTGAAATTTGCTAAAACAAAATTTTTGAAATTATTTGAAATTATAGAGTATATCTCCCTCATGTAAAGCTCCGATTACCTGTCCGACTTCGGCTATACTTTTTGAATTTTTTGGTTTTATTAGCTCTTCAATTTTTGAATAAGTTTTGGATTTTCAAATATTTTGGCATCGAACATCTCTGAAGAGACATTTTTTGTCGAAATGCGCATCTGGTGCAGTAAATTTATACCTTTTTTACCGTTTATTATAGACACAAATTCTGAGCTTAAACAATACGGATGACTACTAGTAAGAAAAGGGTGTCAAACACAAAGAATACGAAAAATAGAGTAGAACACAAGAAGTTGAATTTATTCAGACAGAATCCTAATCATTAAATTGCAAATCTGCGTTGGAAAATTGCTTAACTACATAAGCATGAAAGAAAATACACTGCCTTTATTTATGAAATACAAGAAAGCGATCATGAAAATGTATATGAGGTGTTAAATTACTTCTTAAAAAACCTCAAAATTGATAAGGAACAGTCTAATAGTTTAGCTATTGTTAAAACCCATCGTATTTCGACAGGGCAAATATCTGATCAAACCAAAAGACCTGATCCAATAATAATCCGCTTTATGCACTACTTAATCAAACAGTACACCATGTCATATAGGTAAAATTTGTTTGGCAAAAGAATGCGCATTGTTGTCGACCTACCCCCAATCTTGAAAGAATCGAAGCATGGACTAACAAAGATTGTTTACAAAATAAGACAGGCGGAACATCTCCAAAGTTATCGGAACCCGTCTTCTCTTAGAAACACGTACCAATTCAACAGATAAATGGTTTCATAGAAAGGAGGCTCCCTGTTACTGAAGTGACTGAGCATTGTTGCTTCCATGTTTACAACATAAATCTCTTTTGTTATAAATTAATTAAATTTCCTTGAGATGTATATATTAATGAGTATTTTTTCGCCGTGTATTGTTCCTTTTTCGAAGTGCGTTACATGAGTTAGTTTGATATATATTCATGGTTCTAACATTACATATATTTTTCAGGTTTACAAAGATACAGTAAGTAACAATTCTTCCCATATGATATTATATGTATGTTTGCCAATTAACACATTACAAAAAATATTAGCCGATTCCATCAAGGTCAATTTTGCTGAGGAAGTTGGAACCTTAGTTTCTAAATAAATACTAAATTTGTTAATGGACAATTGAAAAAAGGTATGTTATAAATCATGTTAGTAAAAAAGCAGTAACTACTGATTTAATGATACCCTCAGGGAATTTTCCACAAGCAGCGGTATCGAACAAGTGCTATAAAATATGAAAATAACTTCCATTTTTCATGAGTACAGATGTTACAATATCTATAATCATTCAAACTATATATTGACTTTATTTTGCTAACAACATTGTTATGATTTTTTAACATAAACCCTTTACTGCTGTACCCCAATTTTGACGTGTTTACCTATTATGTCTGTTTGTTTTGCTCACACAATTTTATAAAGGACTTTCTGTTTTGAATTTTCCTTGGAGTTCGATATTTTTGTTATTTTACTTTTTACTGAAAGTTTTTATTATAAGTATACTTATTGTTTTGTGAATAAGCAATATGTCGTTTTCAAGAAACTGTTTCTTTTTCAGATCACGAATATCGTACTCACTTAAAATTTGGACTTACGGTATTGATTTGTCTCTTCTTAATCATTGGTAAGACACAATTTTCACAGTCATCTATGGCCAGACATAGATTTCAAAATTCAATATTTATTCAAATTAACAGCCATTTTCCAAATGGTTTGATTTTTAATCGTCATTCAAATTTAATATATTTATTCAATTGGTATATATATTTTTTTTTTATTAATATACAATTTGTTTTATTCAACTGGTACACTTTTTCTTTTAATTAAGATTCTTGTAATATTCAGTTGATAAAGTTTTCCAGTTTAATGCAATTTTTTTTAATGCTATATACATCTAAGTATAATAGTCTATATTTATATTTTTTTTATTTACCTTGTATACTCCTCATGAAAGAAGCCTAGTACAACAATGTGTAAACTGTATATGTATTCAATTATATCAATATCTATATGACTTTGATTGATATATACGTTGAAATATTTCGTAAAGTGGAGTCCTTTTACACAGTAATCTGCAGAATTAAACTTATTCAAAGATAGCTTTGGTAATATCTGTTACTTTACATATAAAAGAAAGGCGAAAGATACCAAAGGGACATTCAAATTCATAAGTCGAAAATAAACTAAGAAGGCCATGGCTAAAAAAGAAAAAGACAAACAGACAAACAACAGTACACAAAACACAACATAGAAAACTAATAAACTGAGCAACACAAACCCCACCAAAACAGGGGGTGATAGCAGGTACCCCGGATGGGTGAGTAGATCCTGCTTCACATGCGGGACCCGTCGTACCTAAAATATTGAAGATGTTCAGTATGTTAAGTTAGTTTGAAATGCAAAAGCTATTTAGCAACATAATGCCTTCCCAACAACAAATACATAATATTTTAAATGAGAGCTTAAAGTTGTATTTAAGGCGTCTGCATTTTAATTTAATCACTAAATCAGATAAGTTTGGGTCTTGTATATTTTTTTGGTGTTTAGGTTGTTATTTGATGATTGTCTGTCTGCTGGGCGATCTACTTGCAAAGTTTACAGATACCTCTACAGGTAAGGTAACAAACTATCTTTAACAAGTGCTTGCTAAAACTACGTTTCAACTATTAAAATATCTACACCGATAATCGATTTAACAGTAGAATCATCATTCTTAAAAGATTTACTTCTTCTTCTTCTTGCTTGTTTCTCTAGCTACTTACATAGTGCCATTCACTTTATATTGCTTTGATGAGATAGCAAGTAAATGTTATTCGGGAAATTTACAAAAAAAGTTTGATTAAGTCAAGCATTAAAGTCAGAGGTAAATGATTTCAGAAATGGATTATAAACGTGTTGAAACTTTATGGAATCAAACTTTGAAACAATCCTTAATTTGATCAACAATGAAGTACAAATATTGGAAAGCTCCATTCAGTAATTTTTTATTCACTACGTAAAGGGCCTTTTATAGCTGACTATGCGGTATGGGCTTTGCTCATTTTTGAAGGCCATACGGTGACCTATAGTTGTTGATTTCTGTGTAATTTGGTCTCTTGTGGAGAGCTGTCTCATTGGCAATCACACCACATCTTCTTTTTATATTAGCATGTTCATGTGCTCATCCACTTTACCAAGTAAAACCGTATGTCCTTAAATATGGATATTGTCCAAAATATGCAATGATAACTACTATACTAAGCGATACTTGATGATGGAATTAAGTACTGCCAATGCATACACAGTGTTATGTGGACATCATGTGGGATCATAATTTAAATTCCACGGATAAATTTATTCCAAGAAGTGTAAATCTGCTGGAAGCCACTTCTTTTCCTTTTATAAACATAGTATCTTTGCTTAACTTTTTCTTTCCAATCCAAACAACCTTTATTTTTCTTAATTTATATTAAGACCTGATAAATCTGGTGAGAATATAGCTGGACGAAAAGAATATTACAAATTTCTTCTCTTACCCTTCTCTTCCACTATAAAGATTTTCCTTCCGTTAGATAATAGTACAATATTTTTAAGCAATCACAAACTTTGTGCATATCAAAATGTTGGACTTCTCCGCATTCATACCACTATTCTGTATTCCTATTTCGTGAAACACAAAGTTAGAAAATTGTTTTATTTGGATGGTAAATGCAGGATATTTTACTTGAGAAAATCTTAATTTGATAAGACCCATACTGGTTCGTATTACAAAATATCGAAGACATTTGTAAATACTGAACTATTGTATCGACAGCATATTTGTTGAGTTTAGCGGTTTTCTAATACAATTGGTAATCTTGGTTAATCACGGTACCAAATGTTTACGACTAGTCTACTACCGAATTGTTATTGTAATCATTTGAACCTTCGTACAGTTACAAACTCAACTCCAATCAAATATACATAATTTTATTATGTCTTACTCTCATAATTGTTTTTATTTCAGACTGCAAAAAAATGGTTTTAAAACCTAAAGGTACTAAACAGACTAGTACCTGTGTTATTCCAAAATTAGACGATAATGCTGGTAAATATAAAGCCATATCGGATGAAGTCTGTTTCGGCAAGGAAGTCATTTCAAAACGAAGCAGTATGCAAGCAGAAAGCGGTAAGTAAGACTGCGAAGGATCCAATCAATATTCTTTGTTTTTAACCAATAATGTGTCTCCGATCAAAAATCTGTCATCTGACCTCTATTCAATAAGTGTGGCTCATGAGATACTTTAATTATGTCCTCAAATTTAGTATCATGTTAAATTCTGATTTATTGGGGTGAATTTACAAAAAGTTTAACAAGAGTACAGTAATGTATTACTAAAAAATGAAAACATACTTTACTTTTGATTTGGTTATAAGTTTAAAACTGACAAAAAAAGGTTGTTAAAACAATCTTTTCATGACATTACTCATAAGAAGAAAATAAACTCATCATGGATACCAGGATTAAAATTGTGTACGCCAGACGCCAGTTTCGTCTACAAAAGACTCATCAGTGACGCTCGAATCAAACAAATTGAAAAGGCAAAGTACGAAGTTAAATAGCATGTAGACCCAAAAAATTCCGAAAAGTTTTGCCAAATACAGATATGGTAATCTATTCATTGGGTAGAAAATCCTAAGTATTTCGAAGAATTCAAAATTTTGTAAACGGAGCATTTCTTTGAAAAAAAACATGTTTTTTTCATTTAAAAAATCAAATTGATTAAATTCAAGTAGGGAATTTTGTTCTAGTTAAGAACAGTAGTAATTTTTCCCACAGATCTTTGAATTGTGATTACTTTAGAATCTATCTATAAATTGATATTCGTTGATATTTAGTTGAGAAAAGTGTCATTTGGGAAATACAGATGAAAAGACTGGTCGTTTACCAAAAAAATGGAAGAATGACTAGTAAGGTAGAACTAGTCCAGTCCTTGACATTTTTCTTTGCTTTGTAGATGTTTTTGTTTTGAATATGTAATGTTTGTCGGAATTACATGATAATGCTATCTACAACATCCATTTTGCCTACTTTTTTTCTTAAAAAAATACACTTAATAACTATTAATTTGAGTGGAATATGCCTTGTAACCGTGTAAAATTAGAAAAAAATAAATACGCATACAAGAAGTTAAGTAAATCGGTCAGTGAACGAAATATCTGAAATATGGATAAATGCATACAACTAGTCAAAGTTATTGCTATACTAAAAACATTTTTATAGTGGAGTCTTTCAGGAATATTAATGAGGTGAGTCGAGTATTTCAATTTCAAACATATTTTTCTTACAAGTTAAATGTGTTTCAAGTGTGCTTTAAGAACAGCAATGGAAGTGCTGTTTTTGCTGTTTTTGTTTTTCTATTGCGCGTTGTTATAAATTGATACACCTTATTCTTTCATTTCAATTTCATCACATTAACAATAACTAGATATCTTAATGAATTAACATTAATATAACCCTTTAATCATAACATAGCAGCATATAACATGCAGCTTGTATGCATATATTTAAATTCTTTTTCAATCGTTCGATTGCTTGGTCTCATATATATATACATTTCATCATGGTCTATTTTGAGTGAGTCGTTATGCTGTGACATTTTAAAGTTGAAAAAGAGTACGCTATTCCCTTAAGAGTAGGGGCAAAAAATGAAATATATCTAAAACAAACCTTAAATAAATGACATTTTTTTTTGTATTATAGTCCAATGACAGCTTGAAAGGTAGCTAGATGTCCTGACATATAAAAATATAAATGTCGCTTGCTATATTTCCTAACAAAGGGGGGTGAATATTTGTAAAAAAAATAATGACTTCGTTCATTAACTATCATACATAAGACATACTATTCTGTTACTAAATGTGTGCACGCTAACTTGAATTGGTGACTATGTATGATGTAAGTCTAAAGTTATGCACAGTATAACTTCAGCAAAGTTAAAAATTTTATTTTAATGTATGTATATCACAAAACCATAACCAAATTATTTACAACTAGGATTGGTATGCATATTGTAGGCATATATATTGTAGACAATTACGGGTTGGTAATGACTACGTGTATTTCCTGATCCACTTTATTTTCGCCATTTGTAAATATTTCGTCGGTTGATCACAAAACTTTACGACAGAAGATATGATTTCAGCTTCCCAATTGTAACTTTCCAGTTCTTTGTAGCAACATTCCAGCAGCGCCTGCATACGGAGTATATATCTCCCAGTTGATACGATATTCCCGGTAGATACGATATTCCCGGTATCGTATTCCCTTTCATGATTTCCTTGATGGAGAGTTGCTGCTTACAAGGACGCTATAAAACCAAGAGTTCCAAGTTGTGACGTTGAAATCATCCCTTCGTTATTCTACGGACGCCATCACGAATTGGTTGACGAGTGACAAATATGGAGCAGGATCTGCTTAGCCTTCCGTATCACCTGATACCCCCCAGTTTTTGGTGGGGTTCGTGTTGCTGAGTCTTAAGTCTTCTATGTTGTGTTTTGTGTACTGTTTGTCTGTTGGTCTTTTTCGTTTTTATTCATGGTGTTGTCACTTTATTTTCAACTTATGAGTTTGAATGTCCCTTCGGTATCTTTCGCCTCTCTCTTGTTTATTAATTCATTACGGCTGTTTGAATATCTTTGTTTATTCTGCATTCGATTTGGTTTTTGATCATTACCTTTTATAGTAAGCTACGAACTTTAACAGAAGGTTGATGATTCAGATATTCAACTCAATAACATCCAGTTATTAAACCCATTTCCTAAATTAATGAATATTTATTCCTGTCGAAAACTTGTGTTTTTTTATTTCCGTAATTCTCTTCGTTTTTGTTTTTATTTGATAGATTTTTTATCGAAATTTATAATTTATATAATACTTTACCTCCCTTTCTAAAGTCTCCATATGATTATAATGAACACAAATGTACATATGCAAAACTACCGATAATAGAAAATTATTTATCAATAACATTAAAAGTATGAGCAAATACACGGAAAATAGCCTTTTTCAGTGTCAAAATGAAATAATATGATATGAACATCATTAATGTGTTTTAGCGAGCATGTCTCTAGGCCATGTTGAGTTTTAATCCGTAATCCTGAAAGTCATACAACAATTAAAACTAAATACTGAACGCGTGTGTGTGAACTCTGACATCCAAAATGTTCTCATGTTGTGCTGTAACTCCAATGTCCCAAGTTGAGGTGGGTTGAGCGCTTACAAGCATGTTTATCTCCATTATCTTTATTGTATGCCTGATTTTAAAAAGAGTATTTATTTGCCTGGTATCTTTAATGACGTGTTCTTTATTTAGTTTTTCAGGTGTAACTTTTTTTTTGGTGTATGAGGTTTTACATTTTGTTTTATTTTTTTTAAATGATAGTCGGTGACCTCATCTGAAAAACTTTTACTCCGAAAAAAATAAGTAAAAGTCGGAAGAAAACACGTTTTTATTGGAAGAAAGTATAACAGATTAATGTACATATATAATCATCAACATTGTTTGGCCGCTGGCTATTAAGATATTGATAAGCATTGTGATGGCTTCATCTGATCAGCAGACGGTTGCATGTTGAATCAATATTAACAATAAATATCAAAGGTTGTTTGTGTGTACTTTCTGTATTTATTTGTTAAAGTAATGATTTTATCGTTCAGATCCTAAAACCGCCTCTAGTGATCCGCGTGAACGTGATAACAGTACCCAGAACATTCCATTTCTACAAAATTCTGACCATTCTACAGATACTGGAGTCATAGGAAAACACACTGTTTTAATTCATGATACTGAACCGTCTGATAACCTGTCAAATTGCAGTAAGTGGAATCAATATTTTGTAATACTATTCATTTTAAACATGCTGAAATATCATTTGTTAATGTTTTGTTTATTTTCGTAACAAGAACTCTTATGGAACAACACTACCGTTAAAATATATGCATCATCTAATTTTCGAAGCTAAAAGGGAAGAAATGTTAACCTTTAACCAAAAAAGAGATCTAATACAAATAGCACTTTAAAAATTTCGTATGTCTTAAGGTTTTTTCTTAATGTACATTGTACCTTTATCATGAACGATCAAATCTAAACATTTGAAAGCCATGGATGTGACATGCGTAGAAACGTTGGGGGCAAAATGACCAAAATGAGACATACAAAAAGAATATCGAAATTCAGCTGAAATCAACCTTGCCTGAGGAAGTTGGAAACTTAGTTTCTTAATCATTTCGTAATTTATCATTGGGGAATTATGAATAAGTCCAAAATATTTGTTGTAAATACTATTACATGTAGCACTGGCCACTGAGCTGATGATACCCGCGGAGACTAAGATTCCACCAGCAGCGGTATCGACACAGTGCTAGTAAATTACGATATCAATTTATTAGCATCGTGCGTCCGACGCGCTTTCTTGAATAACCTTGATCAGGAACTCTAATCTAGTCATTCATTCTTCAGATACAGATGGTCATCTGAAATATTTTGATGATGTATATTCAAATTAATTTGTTTTTGTTTAAGAAATGAAAATAATAATTGATATTGCCAATATGATCGCTATAATATAACCTAAAAGACTTAATAATTATGTTTTCACATGTTTTAGGTCGCGTAGAGACCAAAATTGTCGTTACTGTGAAATATTGGTGTCATATGTTCAGTTATGATTGTAGTTAATTTACATATATATGTATTTACAAGTAATAAACTGTTTATCTTAATGATAATTTAATAGTTAAATCATTCAAACGAGCTTTGAAGATAGTGTATATGAGTCAACATCCCATACGTTATTATATTATTCTTCAAATTTCACTTTACAGACGCCAATGCTATCCCTACACATAATGAGAAGCGGACTGAAAGCACCTCGACAAAAGACGCCCTTGAAAAGAGTTTTTCAGGTACCTCTAAAACTAAATGAGCAGACCTTTTTTGTCTATCGCTTCAGAACTACAAGATCAAATAAAAAAAGTATGTCTCTGTGTCTTAAAGCTAGCAATGACATTGTGGCTTATGTCACACAGTCTGGTCACGCATTGCTTTCATGATCCAAATAACGCGTTGCCTGATCTTTCACGATCATGATCAATTTAGATTAAAAATAAATAAAAAAATCCTTCTTTTAAAAAAAAATCTTTACCATTTCAAGGAAAAGATCACTTCATCTTTACTGTACTATCTGACAAATAAAGAAGTAGTTTCAAATCTATCATGATTTAAGGGAATGTGACCATTTGTTGATCCAAGACTAGGTTTTCCTTAAATGATTCGCATAAGGTTGTGTGTTGCCTTTTGAGTTTTCATCAAAAGTACTGCATTTTTTTATTATCTTAGTGCACATTACTACATATTACTTTTTTCTGATTTTTTCCGCCGGTTGATAATACAATAGATATATTAATAGATTTTGCAGTTGAATTGAATTGATTTCACGATCCGATAGCAAACCTTTCACGATGCAATCCCAATGCTTGACCACAGTTATTTATTCTTTCTCGATCACTTTTCTCGACATACCAGATGACAGCCGTGTAAGGTGTTCCGATTAAATACACACCAAGATAAGTATACCTGATATCAACAGACACTGTCCAATGTTGAAAATCAAGCGGTATATATTGTTAATGTGTGAAGTGACGTTAGCCAGTCGAAATTAGAAAATGTATCGAACAACTTCTCAATAACAACATAGTAAAAGTGAGACGCAGTTGCAGTCAATAACTGTCTGTAAGTTACCGCTGCACATCAGTATACATATATTTTATTGTACACAGTGAGGTTTAGCTCCTAACACTTCGATAAAAAGTTTGAATATAAGCACATTACATGATGACTGCATGCGACATATCTGCCAAGAACTGTTTATTAGCCTTTGATGATTTTTTGTTTACATTTTAGTAACATCTAATCAATGGTTAATTATTTTAGATAAGACAATTTTTGTGGTTGTATCACCAGTAGAACTAAATGAATTTGTCGGTGCTAGTTGTCAATTCAATGCAACAATATGGTCAACGAATAGTGAAATAAAGAAGATTGAATGGCTGCACTTTGTCACACCGGATAAATCAATTCCATGCGATTTAGCAAATACGGAAAAGTATGATACAGAAGATCAACAATCATTAACCATTCTCAGTTTGGAACCAGCAGATACAGGGACATATGTTTGCAGAGCTAGTAATTCTGAGGAAACAATAGATAGTGAACATATAAAGCTTAATGTAAAGGAATGTAAGTAATCAGTAATTTAAACTGATATGTCCTTTACATCTTTACTCGTTGTTGAATGTCTTAACACAAAACAAATCGTAATGGTAAGAGTTTAATAATTGTGTTACACAGTAAATCAACAGCTCAGACCACTCTTATAATAGATTGAATATAATTATCTTAATTGATCGCGAGCTAATTATTTCGCGCACTGTGTTAACCAATGTGGAGGTATTTAAAAATACGCAAACAAAACACAACTATTTCTTGTTAGATTAGTTCCGGTCGAAATGGTCGGATTTGGTTTTATTCATTTATTATTGAACCCTAAATGGGTATGTAAATACATGCACGTAATTGGTATGTTAATCCATATACGTGATTGGTATGTTAATCCATACACGCGATTGGTATATTAATCCATACACGTGATTGGTATGTTAATAAATAAACATATGACTTAAAAGGAATTGCTAAAAACAGTTATGTTAATGTAGTCTACCAGAAAATATTACTTGGATTGTTTTGCCTGAAATACCTTTTTAATTATTTTTATATCACCTTTAATGAATTAATTTCATATGAAAAGTGTTTGAAATTATTGATATAATTGGTGTACATGTATTTGTAAATTTGTTTTGTTAAACATACTTTCAGATACACCGAAAATTTCTAACAGTATAGGAAAGCGTACGATTGATAATGAATTAAAAACAACACTGGAATTTGAACTTGATGTGCCAGAGCCAGATGAGATATTCCTTCTTTTCAAGAAAAACGACTCAGAAATTTTTGTACCAGGGGAAGTTGATAAAAATCAACATATCTTCACATGTTACTTTCCTATATGTTGTTCTGGAAAATATGAACTTGTTGTAAAAACTCATTTCGGTGTAGTGCATAGGCAGACAATTGATTTAAAGATCCCTTCAGGTAACAAAGTTACATTGTATAACAAATGGAAAATGCATTTATTACATGTTTATTTTTCTTCGTACACAGTATATATATATATATTGGGAAAGCTACCAATTCCAAATTAAACATTGTTGCAAACCTTTTAAAAGGGCTTTCGATACAGTTTTAGACATTTAATCACAATTTCAGTTTCTTGACAGTTCTATTCTTTCGACAGACAGACGAACTTACTTTTTTTTCAAAAGATTACTACAAGCAGATTTTTGAAAGAACATTTGGAATATTTTCTTTACATGAGTATCTTTTAAATTTGTGTAACAATTCTTTAAAAAATATTCATTTTCGTTAACTGTTCATGATTTTAGGAAAACAAAAACGGCATTTCCTGCTGTATATATACTTGAAATATAAAAAAAAATCATAATTGATTTGTTCATAAAAAAATGATACAAATTAAATTCATACAAAATCAAGCCGAATTTCATCTTAACAAAATGGGGTTCATGTACTCGTTTTCAGCTAAATGTTTAAATCAGTCGAAATATGCATCCTTTCCCAATATTATGTCACAGTTTGACGTCGCGAAAAATAACATTTTACGTTAGCGATGTGATTACCTCCCCTGTAACTGTATTGTATGTCCTTACTATAGAATTGATGTACCTGTTGGCCACATAGCTCTTCACTTGTTTTGGTACTTACATGTATACATCATTGTTTTAAAAATGTTGTGCTTGGCTGCGTTTAAAAATCAGAAAAGCGCTTAGGACCCCGATTTGTTTGCGCTTAATCGATTTATGACTATTGAACAGCGGTATACTACTGTTGCCTTTATTTAGGACGCATACAATTTATAAAGCATTATTTTCATTTTAAAGTTTTTATGAACATGGCTTTTTAAAGATTTAAGAATACTGATTATACTTTCTCAATTTATAGGATAACCGGTTTACAGTCTATGAGCAGAGCACTCATGTAACGTCTATCTTCAAAGACAACATGTTACCTCCATGACAAATATGTTGTAGTCCCCAATGACAAATCCCCAGACAATATTTTTTCTGTGTGTTAATCACATTATATTGACTGCCTCATTAATAGACAGTTACTAATAGGTTAATGTTGGATGGTCATAGTTATCTAATATGTTCCAAGGTTCACTTAAGCCAAATATGGCCTTAAAATTCAATTTTTAAAAAAAAATATCATAATGGACATAATTTGGTTCTTAAATGGATTCATTGTAAGCCTTACTACTGGGTAAAACAGATCTCTAAACAGATCTCTTCATTAGAGTACATTCTAAGCTTCAAAGTCAGCACATTTTAGATATATTGTCAAAAAACGATGATTTTGTGCATTTTTCGGACCAAAACGCTTAAGGAAACACTTGGCCGCAACCTAGATCCAGAATTTTATGCAGCCAAAAGTTGCCAATGATGATATTGGATCCCTAGACACACAAACTTTCTGGATCAGGGGTGGCGGCCAAAGTAAAATATGACAAAAACTGTTAAGAATTATTGAAAATATGAACAAATAATGCATACTTGAGAGGTCATTTCTTCGTAATGTTTAACGGATTTGCCAAAAAGACGCTAGTTTGTATTAATAGTTCGATACTTTAAATAGCAAAGATATCTCATAGTATATACAATAACGCCATTCTCCTCTTGCAATAAGATAAGTAAATAATTTTTTAAGTATTCCAAACACACATTCTTGCCCACGGATACAAAAAGATTATCACAGACCTGTTTAATTTGTTGATGTCACTATCACATCCGCCCTTCCTCGTTGATGACATCACAAATGATTTATCGCCGCATTTTTACTTATCAGTGAAACCACAACGAGTGCTACTAATCGAACAAGAACTACTCACCCTTTCGGAGCACCTGCGTTAACATTGGTGTTTGATTTGTTTATTTTTGATCAATATTCTAATAATAGTTCTTGGTGGGCTGTTATTTTCGGTTTCTCTTTTTCTACTCACTATGGTACTAGTATTGTCTTTCTTCAGACTATGTTTTTGGTTATCTTCTTACTTTTTTAAAAACAATAGTCTGCTGTGATAATTAAATGTATTTAACCATTTTACCATGTTTTGACAACTCAAGTTACTTTTCTATTTTGTTAATATCATTTTTTGATTCTTTACAGTCGGCAAACAACATCTGAAAAAAATGTGGTCGTTTGATAATCTTCGATTGAATAGTCAAAAAGATGCAAAGATATCAACGGGTAAGGAAAATAGCATTGTTTATCTCAACACGCTGTTAAAGCTATCTGTAACGGTTTCTTTAAATATACGTGTATTTTATATGTAAGAAATTGTTTTTGTTGTTGTTTTTCACGAAAAAAACCTGATGTGAACTTCATTTAAAGTTAACGGACATGTATACTAGCGTTTATTCCAGCTTTTGGACTTTCAAATATTTTGGCCTCGGAAAGGATATTAATTGACGAAATGAGCTACTGGGTGTGGTAAAATTGGTACAGTTAATGTTATCAAGGACCAAACAAGACGTTATTTTTTTTCTTCTATTTGATGTTTTGATACTTATTTGAAAATTGAAGGGTTTGATATTTGTTCTATAATTTGATAAAAAAAGTTAAGGTCAAATGATGGATTAACGTCGTATCATCCAGGTAAAAATCAAAAAATAAATGTCGACCAACTGTGAAACATACAAGTTTAAACACATTATTAATAAATTTGATAGAAACGATCAAATATTTTACCGATTGTTTTCTATTTTCTATTGAGACATGTGATTCCATAGCAGGAAAAGCTAACCCTGTCAACGTGTCAGTTCTCCGTTCGTGTCATGGGATCCTCATATTTTGATTTTAATCCTGATTCACAAACTTTTTATGGATTTACTAAATTTGAACATCGGTAACCTACGGTTGCCTCTACTTTACATCAGTTTACTTTTACCTAAAATTATAGAACAGTCCATTAATTTCGCAAATCACACAAAACCGCACCAACAACATTATATAATACCTATCTAAAACATCTGTATTTGTTGAAATAACAATTAAGTGGCTATCAGCAATTGTCTAAAATAAATAATGATTCGGATGATTTCAGAAAACACAGCGCAGAACATCGATAGTACAAAAAATGTAGACGAATCGCAAGAATCAACTACAGATGAAAAACCAGGTAAATCTGGTATATAAACATCTATTTCATTGCAATGAATATTTAGTTACTATCTGGAGAGTTCGTAAAATTAAAGACAATGCCCTTAATTTCAGAAACCACAACAGAGGACATCGATAGTACAGAAGATTTCGCAGAATCCTATCAATTAACCACTGACATTCAACCAGGTAAAACACCTTTTATTTTGGTAATCATTTATTAACTATCTATCTTTGCAACTTAAATAACAAAATCCATTATTTGTGTCATCATCACGTAGCATTGAAAAACCATTGTTAATTCATATCTTATCCATATAATAACGTTTTGTTCTACAAACAGTTCAATATCCTTTTGTATGTCATATAATAATTATGGCACCCTCAACGGAGTTGGGGTGACATATTGTTATTCTACGTTTCTTTTTTTCTTATTTTTTATTTTTCTTCCACTTTTTTTGTCAAGCTTATATCTCGGAATTGTATGAACCAAAATTAATGGAACTATACCATAATGTTAACCAGCATGTGCAGATTTGCAATCGGGTATAGCATTTCCCAGATGGCCGCCGTTTCCATGGAAACAGTAAAAATGTCCAAAAAATCAATATGCTCCAAAGTTAATGAAATTTTACAACAATGTTAATTGGCATGTGAAGATGCGCTGTTTGACTTTGGAATTTTCAAAATGGCTGCCGTTACCCTGGTAATTGGGGGACGAGGGTGCCATCCGTTATTGCTAGCAATTACAAATCTAGTTAATTTTGTTATTGCTCTTCTTGATTATCTCTCCATCAACTTTAATAACCTCCATATTGAAAATACAATAGTATTTCAAGAACCCAAAATATGCATGAAATATATAAAAAAAGCATTAACAAAAATACCGAACTCCAAGGTAATTTTAAAAAGTGAAAAGTCCATAAAACCTGATAAAATCAAATGTTAGATTATTTCAACCAACGAAACAAATGCAAAACAACTGTCAAATTTCTAATTTGGTACAGGCATTTTCCGAAGACAATGGTGGGTTACATCGGGTTTAATCCACCATTTTCTACATTAGAAAATGCCTGTACCAAGTCAGGAATATGACAGTTGTTATCCATTCGTTTGATGTGTTTCAGCTTTTGATTTTGCCATTTGATTAGGGACTTTCCGTTTTGAATTTTCCTCGGAGTTCGGTATTTTTGTGATTTTACTTTTTTTTGTATAGCTAGCTTAACTACTTATATGACAGTTGTTTATAGTTCCGTTATATTGACAAACATACAAGTGTACTTTGAGATAGCATTATCATTAATATCATATCATGCAAGTACCATGGTAATAAAATGTATAAAGGTCGGACATTGTTTGGGTATGCAATATTTTCCATTGCTCAAACTCCTATGCATTGTTATAAACGGTTTGTATTTGACTAACAAACAGCATAAAAATATTATGCATCGCTAAGATTTACAGGAAAAGTTCTTAATTTATGAAAATGGTATAAGCGACAATGCAAACAAGTACAACGATAAACAAAGCTGTATAAAAATGTGTTAATGGTCACTGGAAACAAGCAGAACGTTTACATGTAATATCCTTACACAGTGGTTAATCTAAATAATGACAAAAAATCAACTCCCTTGCATACACTGAAAACTGGGTATCATCAGTGTTTGGACGTTTTCCATGAGGACGCTATTGATTATAAATTTACAAGAAAAAGTTCAGGTAAATAGTAATAATAAAAATAAAATTCGATAAACATAAAATGACAAAACGATTTTATTTCTCTTAAAATATACCAATACGATGAGAAAAACAGGCTATGGGAGTTTGGTATAAAATTTATATAACATGTTGCTATGCGAAAAAAACTCCTCGCATATTGTCTCACTTCTACTGACTGTACTCCTCACTGTAACATGTCAATTATCCGTATATGTATGCAGCTAGATCAGAGACATTCAGGAAAAAATACCAAAAGGAATCGATTGCAGCAAAGATTAACACTTTTGAAATTATGTTTCTAATAAATACACCTACTAAGCGAAAGCAGGACGTCATAGTAGAATTTTCCATTGTTCTCGCAGTTATGAAGTTTTTCTTGTTATAAAAATTCTAAGAACTCTAGTCAACTGTCGCGATTTCAAAGCAACTGTAAAAATTCTTTCAAAACAATAGAATGAATAATTTAGTATTGCTTACTTTAAAATGACTAAAGAAAAAGAGCCACTCTTAAATAATAAAAGTCCTGCAAAAGATTTTAAAAAGTTACCAGCAAGACGACTTCTATGTGTTATCAAAGAGTCGACTTCTTTACATCTTTGATACAAAAATACATCAACAACATTTTAAGTACATTGATAGAAAAGAAAGGATATGGGTATCCTCGATGACACAAAAACAGTGCATACACAGCAAGAAAACCCACAAAAAACAAAGGAACAGTGTTTTTATTGCTGTTCTTCATCTCTAAGTCACAGTAAGACCATCAACACGGAGCAAAATTTCTCGTCTCACTGGTAGTTTTAGACGGCCCCTAGCACCGTTTTGAGCGGAATTCTTTGCAAACTGACGATCACGCCACAACTATAAACTGAGGAACAAAGCCATGATGTAATATCAATAAAATAAATCTCGCAAAGAAAATCAAACATTTACTGTCATAATTCAGACCCAACAATCACACTGAAGCGTTAAGACAACCATGCGGCACATCGAAATATATGTTAGATAACTTTTAGTTGTTTAATTCTATATCATTCGGTCTCTGGTGGAGAGTTGCCTCATTGGCAATCATACCACATCTTCTTATTTTTATTTTGGCAGAAAATAACGTATGTATAGGGCAAATAATATTCGGGTAGATTTTGAAAGTAACACCACCAACTTGTGCCTGGTCAAAAAGAACATACCGTAAAGTTGTACTTATTTAAAATGAAATAGTTCCTACGGATAGGTGTAAATATCTAAGTATGTAGAATATATATTGGTCATTTAGTTATCAAACGAAGGTTGAAGGATTGGTGATTCCTGTAAAACACCTTTTGACTGATACTTTACATAATATAAAAAAGTAAAAATAAAATCTAAAAAGGAGGGCATATATTTGCTGTTTCTCAATGATTCTTCTATATACGTTTGGTTTCCTATTTGCAGAATCAAAAGAGCTGAATAACGATTTCTATACGAGTTTGAAGAAAACCAATGTTCGGGCTGTCATTGCGCTAGATGTTGGCACAACTCATTCTCGTTATGCTGTTTTGATAACAGAAACACTATCTTGTAAAGAGAAATGGGAACCTGTCATCGAAGATTCAGTGCCGACAGCTGTTTTGTTCAAAGATAGTTCAAAAAACTATATTGCCTGTGGAGACGAAGCAATGCCAGAATACATATGTGCCATTGAAAATGGCGAACGTGAATCCTATCTGATGTTTGAGAAATTCAAATTAGAATTATACAAACGAATGGTCAGTATATTTTGTAACCAAGTGATACTTATTTTTATAATTAATTTACGAGAAATTAAAAACCAACAACAACAACAAAAACACAAATAGAATAAAAAGATTATGGCAGAGACCCACTGAAGATACAACTGTATGTCTATGGTTTTCAATGCTCTTCAAGTTGGTACTTGATTTTTATCTTCCAACTGTTAAACTCTTGCTTGTTACGCTGTATATTAAAATTTTATTTTTCGTTTCTTTTGATGGAAATTAATGAATACACTAGTGTCTTCTGATTTGACAAGTCCCAGTAATTATAGAATCTAAGCTTAATGTTGAATATGCCTTCATCCTTCATCTGTTGATCATTTACATTAAAAAAAAACTACTTTCATATGTTTGGGTTGTTAGACAGCATCCTTTGGTTGCTTAAATAAAACATTCAAAACATTTAATAATTTAACATTTTTTGTTTGATTCAAATGTATTTATTTATATACTGTTGAATATTAGGAAATAACGGCTGAAATGAAGATAAAAGATGGGTACGGAAGGCCAATGTTGGCAATAGATGTGTATACAGCTGTGATAAATGATCTGAAACAAAGAGCGCTAATACACACGGAAAGGAAAAAAATTGAAGAAATTCACATTGCTTGGGTTATGACGGTGCCAGATGTTTGGAACAAAAATGCTAAAGACTTTATTCAACTAACTTGTGAAAGCGTAAGTTATATCTTGTGTAATAAAGTTGGACGTTAATGTTTTTTCGTTTAACGTATCAAGGTTTTTTGTCATTGAGATTAATGTTGTTTATCTAAGAACGTTGAATTTGTGTAGCTTTGTCTAATCAATTTTGATATTATTGTTTCTTTTATCAGCCTGTTTAATGATCTTTATTTAAAAAAAAAACAGTTGGTTTCCTAATGAGTATTAATTGTGAACCCCTACTGGACGATTAGTTTACGTACTTATGTGAAGCAGACTTCATGCAAAACCTTCTCAAGGACAACAAGATTACAACGCCATAGCAAAATGTCCCTAGCGCTGTATATTTAGGTATTAAATTGTGTGTCACACTATGTAAATGTGGTACGAAAGTCAACATATTGAAAAGTCACATTACATACGAATGGTCAAATCAAATAAGCAGTATAATATGGTCGACTACACATGATGGTAAACAATCCTACAAATCATTAGAGATTTCTGGCAAATGGTCTCAAGGGAGTTGCGTTCAAAAGGTGACAGACACTATTACAAGTATGCGAGTTTTCTGTAAAATATTTGCAGAGTTGTGTTCACAAGGTGTTATTGTCACAACACTAAAGAAAAATATTTAAGTACGTAAAACTCCCGTTATAAATGATCGAATCAAAATGTCGGAACATTATAGTCACCTACACATGATGGCAAACATTCCTACCAAGTATGAGATCTTTCTGTAAAACGGAGGCGTTGTTAACATATTAAAAAAATAGCTAAAGTCCCATAACTCCCATAAAAGATGTTAAATCAAACTGACGATATAGTAGGGACGACAAATAATTCTACAAAGTATAAAAGCTTTATGTCAAACGGTTTTTAATTATTGATGTATTGCGGATTGACAGACGGACGGACACGTACAGGGACCATTATCACACCGCCTGCGGTCCTGTTACTCAATAACCCACATTTTAGTTTTACCTCATATATCCAAATGAGCTTGAAATTTTGGATATTAATACCGAAACTAGAAAGTCTGCTTCATATCTTTATCTTTTCCTCGATATTGACACATAAACGACTTCAAACTAGAATCGATGATAAACGTGATTAGCAGTGATATGCTCTGTACACAAAAACTGCTTCAACAGAGCGACACTTCTTAAGTTTAACAATCACCATCACGAATTGGTGAACTGATACGATATGTCTTATTCGTAACTCACTTGCAACATATTTCGCAATCCTAAATCTTTAGATATCAGATTTGTTGCCTTATCTGTAATTGTAACTTTTGTGTACTATTCCCGATCGGGACATTGTGACTGAGTGTGGATTCACAAGGCGGTTTAATGGATGCATAGCAGTATACGCTTACCCTGTCGATGCATTCGGCTTTCTTTATGTATGTTATTGTGTTTTCTTAAGAATGTAGTCATGTCAGGTTTAGAAATTTTGGCAGATTTTCCAACGATAAAGGGTTAAATACTTTGCCCCACTTCACCCACTTTTCACTGAAGACTTCAATAGCTCATAAAAGGTCAATACCAAAATTTAAGCAGATTCTAGATTTCTATTCCTAACGAATTGAGACCCAGATAATGCCAATGCTAAATATAAGGTCAAAGTCCAAGTCGGCCTTTTCCCGCCCTTTTGTTAAAATTAAATATCTCGAAAAGGAGTTCCATAACCTATCAATATTGTTAGCTTAATTTGTTCCTTAACTTATGCTCTTCTGATTTATAGTATTCATTTCAAATTCTAGATTTTTTTTATTTCACCTGACTACATCCTTAATCAATTTATGAGATTTAAACAACGGTAAACTACTGTTGCCTATAATTTTGCATACAACCGATAGTAAAAGGCTGCAATTTTGTACCTTACTTTCCTCCCCAAAAATAAAAATGGAATATTACAGTAAGATAAGCAAACGGTATGTGCGTGCACAAGTTATAATTGCTGACTTATCTAAGTTTTTCATAAATACTTGAAAAATATTAGCCCCAAATTTTTTTTTTTTGGGGGGGGGGATTTATTATGGGAACTCTCCTTACCTATGAGCGATATTGTTTACTTCCACTGGTACAAACATGTAAAACCATGCTCACAATGCCCAGCCAATTATGATTGTCAATCCTTGATTATTTTATGGTCTTTTTTGGTCATCTACCTCTTCAACTGTTGCGGTTTTTATATATCCTAGGCTTTCAATTGTTCGGCTTTAAGCGTTCATGATGGAGGTACATCAAGAAAAGCGCATCGGACGTGTGAAATTTAGCAAGTGTTGCTTTAATATTTTACGTTTTGTTCAATGTGTTAAGGAATTTAATTGATTTTAATGATGGGTAGGCATAAATAGTTTTATTTATATGATAAATATAAGTTGTGCTCATTGTTGAAGACCGTGCGATAACCTATAGTTGTTGACATCGAAATCATTTGACGAATAGTTGGCTCATCGGCAATCATACAACATTTCCTTATTTTTTGTTTGTAAGAGCACAAAATAAGAACAAACTGTACAAATCAGTTGAATTTGCTCAACACAACAGATTGGTACGAGATAAAAACAAATTACTTAAATACACAAAGTACTGATCTGAAAGTACTCGCAGTTACTGACAATTAGTTCAAAGCCATTTACAACTAATAAATACTAGTAGATCATGTTCTTCAAGACTAAAGTATCAATCAGTAAACATCCAACGGATTTAGTAATAGACATCATAGACAGTCTGTGAAAAGCATGACCGTGTGCAATGTTAAAATACAAGTAAATAGTATCGAGGGGCCGTAGGACCATATGTTTTCATAACTGTATACTAATATGAATTTAGTGGTGTTCTAATTTATCAAATGAACATAAATGTACGTGTGTCATTGATAACCGTTACGAATAAGTGTATCTAAAGGACCAATGGGTTTACATGTATCGTTTACAAATTAAATTACTCTATGAACAATGTCGACCTAGTTTTGTCGTTTATGTTTACTTTAGTAGTCCGCTTTTTGACAATGATTTTTAAATGGCAAGAAACGACAAAGCTAAGAAAGCATTAGTACCAAATTATTCCTTCGTTTTATTGTTCATATTTTTATCTTTACAATAAAAAATAAATTGTGAGTAAATTCAGTGTATGCAGACATGAGTATTGGGATAAATAGCGAAGAAAGTTGTGTTTAAATATAAGAATTTAAGACATTACGGTGACCTAATGTTGTTAACTTGTATGTCAGTCTCTTGTGGAGAGTTGTCTCATTGGCAATCATACCACATCTACTTTTTTTTTTTTTATTAAAACCGAGTCCGCATATAATTTCATTTTTTTTCAGAGTGGAATACCCAAAGAACAGTTGATAATAGAAGATGAATCAATTGCTATACTTAAATATTTTCAAGATGTCCAATATTTTTGTAAAGAAAAAATTATATCGCAAAATTTAGATGACAAGAACTATCTTCTCATAGACCTTGGTGGTAATTATACTTTTTCTTTCAAATTGTAATTTTATCCTTGTCTTCCCCAGACCGAAGTTTAATAAATAAAAAAATAGTATCAATTATATACTAGTTGTTAACACCAAGATACTCCTTTTAAACCAATAAGCAGGAATTATTTTAAAAAAAAACGGAGACCGACTGAAATCCCCTGAATATATATAATATATATATTTTTTTCATACAGTAAATAGTTCCCACACAGCGGCGTATAATAGACATTTGCAAATTGTCAATGAACATCTCATTTAGTGCAACAAAACGTGAACTGATGGATGTGTATCCTTATTAAAAACAATTAATCTAGATAGTTATTGGTGTGTGTGGCTAGAGAAAAAAAACAAAGGCATTCATTACTACATTTTCGAATATATGCTACATGTCTTGATTCGTCTACATGCAGTATGTCATATGGTCCAAAGAATATGCATAAAGGAAAATGTTGGATATATGTTGATGTGACAAGAACAAACGACATGACGTCTGACTAAAAGAAATGTAAGGGTCACCAAACTGTTAAAACAACATTCATTAATGCTCTTATATATATGTGAAGCTCTGACTTGCCGCGAGTTTTGAACAGAGACTACCCAAGATGTGTCATCAGCACCAATTTCTCTATCTGACAGAACAAAATTAAGATATAACAAAAAACGACCACTGATTTGTTTCTGACATACACAATAACTTGTAGTTAAGTTTTAAATCTCAACAATTCCCCCTTATTATATCGATTGATGGAATAACAAACGATACAAAAAAGAATATACGATAAAAATCAGCACAGATTAAAACACCTAACACTATTATACCAATGTAATAGATCACAAACGTCACAAGTACACGCACGCCAATACAGTATCAAACTAGACTTGCAGATACTTCAAGCAAGCTCCAAGTATTTCACATGGTGAGATGTAATCAATGCTTACCAGCTGCCATTTGATATCGGTGGGTAGACTATGGTTTGCAGGTCGCAATAGTATGTTAATTTGGCATGATTTTCTAAATACATCAGCTAAAAATTACTGTTCATCCCACAAATGAAAACGGTTGCTTTGAATATTTAATTTGTTGTTTATATTTTCAGGTGGAACATGTGACATAACTGGTTATCACGTGACCGCCGATTGCGATGTAGGCGTTCCAATTAAATCTACACATATAGCATGTGGTGTCGATATAGCATGTAATGCAATTCTGGATCGCATTTCATCTATGATAGGAGACCGAGCTATGGATTGTATGAAAGAAGAAGAAACATCAAGCTTCTTACAATTGAAAGAAGCATGTTTACAGTTATGCAAGACATCAGAATATACATTAAAACTAAATGTACCAATACAAATTTTTGACAAACTGTGTACACGTTTTCGTTTGATGTCATTTGAGGAAACTGTTGATGATTTCGGAAAAACTCTATCTTGTGGAAACTCGAAACATATTGATATTGATTTTAAACTATCCGGGGACAAACTAATTGTACGGAAAGGACTCATTGACGACTCACTCAAGGTGGTAATAGGAACTGTAATAAGTGAAATCAAGCATATCTTAAAGACACAAAAGGCACAAGACATTCAGCAGTTTTTCATAGTTGGGGGATTCTCATCTCTATTAATTGTTCAAAATGAAATTCAGGAGGCTTTCAAAGAGAAATCTGTCTTCTTTGCTAACGACAAAGTCTACTCATCTGTTAAAGGTGCACTTTTATGTAGATGTAACAAGATTAGAATGGAATAGTAAATAATTGCAGTAATATTGGGAAAGAAATGCTATGGTGTACAATGCTTTAGTCTGGGAGTACATGATTTATTTATTAGTTGTTATGACGTTGGATAATCATTCATTCACTGCGAGTACTATTAGATCGGTACATTGTGTCTTTTGTCTTATGAATCTCAAAATACATTCTCTCTTATGTTGGCTATCAGAGCTTGACCTTTTACATATCCATGTTTTTGTAAAGACCTTCGAGTTTTGAGCCCCCGGGATGTTGTCTACATATGATCACTTTGTTCTAGTTGAACAATCGTCATAAAAATCTTACATAGTGCTCATACAGTCACCTTATAAAGCAGGTCTATTCGGATAAGGTTCACTCCTGTTTTGTTTAAAAATGCCAACAATATATATTTTGTTACATTATTTGTTTTATTTAGTGAAAACTTCATTTTCAATGTTTAATCAGAATCCATGTTTATCCTATCTGGTCCAGTGTGGGCGTTTCCAATCACTTAGCGTTCGTCGTCAACCTTTGCCATCGTCGTCGTTAATTAACTTTAACCAAAACCTTTTCCCAAGAAAGTACTGGGTTGCGTTCAATATCGTAGCAGCTACATAGATCTACATAGGGCTACGTAGATTTTTGACTACTGAACGTGTAGCTAGCCTAGCTGCTATCTAGATCTATTTAGCAGCTAGGCTAGCTACACGTTCAGTAGTCAAAAATCTACGTAGCCCTATGTAGCTGCTACGATATTGAACGCAACCCTGGGCTAAATGAAATTTGAGTTGGCTTCAATTATCCGGGGGGTATGTAGTTAGAAAAATATTTCCAATGATCCCGCCTGCTAACAAACATGGCCAGCTAGGCTAAAATGGAACGAACACAGTGCTAGAATACATATTATCTTGTAAACCGTTAAAGATAGAGAAAATGTGACGGAACGAAACTGTCAGACGACTCCCTATAGAAGGTATTGCCTTTCAATGATTTTTTACCAGTTTTTGCAATTTGGATTTTTCTTGCCAACGAGAAATTGAAATTTTTAAGGATGAAAAAGATCAGTAATACAAGAATACAAGATCTATAAATAAGTATAATGGTCGGAATTTTAAAACGACACCTTTTTTGAGTTATCGTCCTTGAAAGACAAATTTTACCTAATTTTGTGTGTGTTTATGCGTACTATAGTGAACTATAGTACATAGAGTAAAACTGTAAATAGAAAGTATGATCAGCAGGACAAGATCTACAAACAGTTTCAAAAAGGAACAATGAAAGAGGCAACATGGCCAAAATGCTCAGTCGACTCCTTCATAAGTTATTGGCCTTGAGAAAGACGATCTTTGTACATATTTGCGAGATTTTGTTTTATTAATTACAGTGAATGTACAGTGAGTGTCGATTAACAAGGCGGTTTAATGGATGCATAGCAGTATACGCTTACCCTGTCGACGCATTCGGCTTACTTTATGTATGTTATTGTGTTTTCGTAAGGAAGTAATCATGTCAGGTTTAGGAATTTTGTCTGATTTTCCAACGATAAAGGGTTAAATAGTTTGCCCCACATCACCCACTTTTCACTGAAGACTTCAATAGCTCATAAAAGGTCAATACCAAAATTTAAGCAGATTCTAGATTTCTTTTCTTACGAATTGAGACCCAAATAATGCCAATGCTAAATATAAGGTCAAAGTCCAAGTCGGCCTTTTCTCGCCATTTTGTTAAAATTAAATATCTCGAAAGGGAGTTCCATAACCTTTAATATTTTAGCTTAATTTGTTCCTTAACTTATGCTCTTCTGATTTATAGTATCAATTTTAAATTTTAGATTTTTTTAATTTCAACTGACTACATCCTTAATCAATTGATGAGATATGAACAACGGTAAACTGCTGTTGCCTATAATTTTGCATACAACCGATAGTAAAAGGCTGCAATTTTGCAGCTCTGTGGTTTTTATCTCTTTTATACCTTACTTTCCTCCCCAAAAATAAAAATGGAATATTACAGTAAGATAAGCAAACGTTATGTGCGTGCACAAGTTATAATTGCTGAAGTTTTTTCATAAATACTTGAAAAATATTAGCCCCAAATATTTTTTTTGGGAGGGGGGAGGCAGGGATTTATATTGGGAACTCTCCTTACCTACCTTATGAGCGATATTGAGCACTTTCACTGACACAAACCTATAAAACCATGCTCACAATGCCCAGCCAATTATGATTGTCAATTCTTGATTATTTTATGGTCTTTTTTTATCATCTAGCTCTTCAACTGTTGCGGTTCTTATATATCCTAGGCTTTCAAATGTTCGGCTTTGAGCGTTCATGATGGAGGTACATCCAGAAAAGCGCATCGGACGTATGAAATTTAGCAAGTTTTGCTTTCATATTTTACGTTATGTTCAATGTGGTTAAATGAATTTAATTGATTTTAATGATGGGTAGGCATAAATAGTTTTATTTATATGATAAATATAGGTTGTGCTCACTGTTGAAGACCATGCGATAACCTATAGTTGTTGACATCAAAATCATTTGACGAATAGTTGGCTCATCGGCAATCATACAACATTTCCTTATTTTCATGTGGCAAATATTTAGATAAAAGTACAGTTGTAATTATCTGCACCGATCTGTTGGTTTTGACATTACAGTATACATCCTAATTGTGTTTTCTCAATCCTCTTTTAACCTGGGATAGTTTGTAAGAGCACAAAATAAAAACAAACTGTACAAATCAGTTCAATTGGCACAACACAACAGATTGGTACGAGAGAAAAACAAATTACTTTAATACACAAAGTACTGATCGGAGAGTGCTTGCAGTTATTGACAGCTAGTTCAAAGCCATTCACAACTAATAAATACTAGTAGATCATGTTCTTCAAGACTAAAGTATCAATCAGTAAACATCCAACGGATTTAGTAAAAAAACATCATAGACAGTCTGAAAAGCATGACTGTGTGCAATGTTAAAATATAAGTAAATAGTATCGAGAGGCCATAGGACCATATATTTTCATAACTGTATACTAATATGTATTTAGTTGTGTTCTAATTTATCAAATAAACATAAATGTACGTGTGTCATTGATAGTTTAAACATATTTTATTTGCTAAATATCAGCAAAATGGATTAGACACAAGTAAATCATACTTATGAAGTATACATACAATAACATTATGAGCATGCATGTAAAGCGAACAAATTCATTAAATATTATACGAACTATAAATAAAAAGAAGAAAAGAACAAGAAGAATGAAAAAGGAGGAAAAGAAAAAGAAGCAAATCATATCCTCTGTGATGATGACTTAGGTTTGATGGTGATGATCATTCGTGCCGGTAGCAATAACACTTTATGAAGGTACTAGAAATCTGTTAGACCTTTTAATAAAATCTTGAACATGTTTGAAAATTAGGAGATTTTGTTCATTCGAAAGTTCGAGGTTTCCGCAAGTTAATAGTTAAATATCAATAATAAAGTTTTTAGTAAGCCAATTAAGATTGCTACTTAAAATTTCTCTACATGTAGTGTATTTTGGGGAAACGAAAAGAAAATGATGAATATCCTCAATATCAGACCCACACTGACACGAAGGATCCGGTATAATGTTAGCTTTGAAAAAGGTCAGAGTTTAAGCGGAACATCGCAATTGAGTTAAAATAATATTCAGTTTCCTCGGACCTTACATATAATACGGCGCAACTCTACTCTGAACACCTTATTTTTTCAATTCTCTCTTAAATTTAGATATAGAGTCGGTGTTTCGAATTTTTAAGTCAAGCTTATTCCATTCTCGTATTGTGGATGGAGTAAAAGATTCAGTGGTAAGGGAAAGTCTACAAAATGGAACAATGATATTTTGACCGTTTCGCAACGGATAGTTGGTTGTACTTTGTATACATGGGGGAACAAGATTACACAGGTACTCAGGTGCATGTTTTTTTATTTATATTATAAAACATCTGTAATTTTCTTCTTTTTTTCCAATGGGTTTACATTTATTGTTTACAAATTAAATTTCTCTATGAACAACATTGACCTTATTTTGTCGTTTATGTTTACTGACGTAGTCCGCTTTTTGACGATGATTTCTAAATGGCAAGAAACGACAAAGCTAATAAAGCATTAGAACCAAATTGTTCCTTCGTTTTATTGTTCATATTTTTATCTTTAAAATAAAAAATAAATTGTGAGTAAATTCAGTATATGCAGACATGAGTATTGGGATAAATAGCGAAGAAAGTTGTGTTTAAATATAAGAATTTAAGACATTACGGTGACCTAATGTTGTTAACTTGTATGTCAGTCTCTTGTGGAGAGTTGTCTCATTGGCAATCATACCACATCTACTTTTTTTTTTTATTAAAACCGAGTCCGCATATAATTTCATTTTTTTTCAGAGTGGAATACCCAAAGAACAGTTGATAATAGAAGATGAATCAATTGCTATACTTAAATATTTTCAAGATGTCCAATATTTTTGTAAAGAAAAAATTATATCGCAAAATTTAGATGACAAGAACTATCTTCTCATAGACCTTGGTGGTAATTATACTTTTTCTTTCAAATTGTAATTTTATCCTTGTCTTCCCCAGACCGAAGTTTAATAAATAAAAAAATAGTATCAATTATATACTAGTTGTTAACACCAAGATACTCCTTTTAAACCAATAAGCAGGAATTATTTAAAAAAAAAACGGAGACCGACTGAAATCCCCTGAATATATATAATATATATATTTTTTTCATACAGTCAATAGTTCCCACACAGCGGCGTATAATAGACATTTGCAAATTGTCAATGAACATCTCATTTAGTGCAACAAAACATGAACTGATGGATGTGTATCCTTATTAAAAAACAATTAATCTAGATAGTTATTGGTGTGTGTGGCTAGAGAAAAAAAAACAAAGGCATTCATTACTACATTTTAGAATATATTGCTACATGTCTTGATTCGTCTACATGCAGTATGTCATATGGTCCAAAGAATATGCATAAAGGAAAATGTTGGATATATGTCGATGTGACAAGAACCAACGACATGACGTCTGACTAAAAGAAATGTAAGGGTCACCAAACTGTTAAAACAACATTCATTAATGCTCTTATATATATGTGAAGCTCTGACTTGCCGCGAGTTTTGAACAGAGACTACCCAAGATGTGTCATCAGCACCAATTTCTCTATCTGACAGAACAAAATTAAGATATAACAAAAAACGACCACTGATTTGTTTCTGACATACACAATAACTTGTAGTTAAGTTTTAAATCTCAACAATTCCCCCTTATTATATCGATTGATGGAATAACAAACGATACAATAAAAGAATATACGATAAAAATCAGCACAGATTAAAACACCTAACTCTATTATACCAATGTAATAGATCACAAACGTCACAAGTACACGCACGCCAATACAGTATCAAACTAGACTTGAAGATACTTCAAGCAAGCTCCAATTATTTCACATGGTGAGATGTAATCAATGCTTACCTGCCATTTGATATCGGTGGGTAGACTATGGTTTTCAGGTCGCAATAGTATGTTAATTTGGCATGATTTTCTAAATACATCAGCTAAAAATTACTGTTTATCCCACAAATGAAAACGTTTGCTTTGAATATTTAATTTGTTGTTTATATTTTCAGGTGGAACATGTGACATAACTGGTTATCACGTGACCGCCGACTGCGATGTAGGCGTTCCAATTAAACCTACACATATAGCATGTGGTGTCGATATAGCATGTAATGCAATTTTGGAACGCATTTCGTCTATGATAGGAGACCGAGCTATGGATTGTATGAAAGAAGAAGAAACATCAAGCTTCTTACAATTGAAAGAAGCATGTTTACAGTTATGCAAGACATCAGAATATACATTAAAACTAAATGTACCAATCCACATTTTTGACAAACTGTGTACACGTTTTCGTTTGATGTCATTTGAGGAAACTGTTGATGATTTCGGAAAAACTCTATCTTGTGGAAACTCGAAACATATTGATATTGATTTTAAACTATCCGGGGACAAACTAATTGTACGGAAAGGACTCATTGATGACTCACTCAAGGTGGTAATAGGAACTGTAATAAGTGAAATCATGCATATCTTAAAGACACAAAAGGCACAAGACATTCAGCAGTTTTTCATAGTTGGGGGATTCTCATCTCTATTAATTGTTCAAAATGAAATTCAGGAGGCTTTCAAAGAGAAATCTGTCTTATTTGCTAACGACAAAGTCTACTCATCTGTTAAAGGTGCATTCTTATGTAGATGTAACAAGATAAGAATGGAATAGTAAATAATTGCCGTAATATTTGGAAAGAAATGCTATGGTGTACAATGCTTTAGTCTGGGAGTACATGATTTATTTATTAGTTGTTATGACGTTGGACAATTATTCATTCACTGCGAGTACTATTAGATCGGTACATTGTGTCTTTTGTCTTATGAACCTCAACATACATTCTCCTTTATGTTGGCTATTAGAGCTTGACCTTTACATATCCATGTTTTTTTTAAAGACCTTCGAGTTTTGAGCCCCCGGGATGTTGTCTACATATGATCACTTTGTTCTAGTTGAACAATCGTCATAAAAATCTTACATAGTGCTCATACAGTCACCTTATAAAGCAGGTCTATTCGGATACGGTTCACTCCTGTTTGTTTAAAAATGCCAACAATATATATTTTGTTACATTATTTGTTTTATTTAGTGAAAACTTCATTTTCAATGTTTAATTAGAATCCATGTTTATCCTATCTGGTCCAGTGTGGGCGTTTCCAATCACTTAGCGTTCGTCGTAAACCGTTGCCATTGTCGTCGTTAGTTAACTTTAACCAAAACCTTTTCCCAAGAAAGTACTGGGGTAAATGAAACTTGAGTTTGCTTCAATTATCCGGGGGGTAAGTAGTTAGAAAAATATTTCCAATGATCCCGCCTGCTAACAAACATGGCCAGCTAGGCTAAAATAGAACAAACACAGTGCTAGAATACATATTATCTTGTAAACCGTTAAAGATAGAGAAAATCTGACGGAACGAAACTGTCAGACGACTCCCTATAGAAGGTATTGCCTTTCAATGATTTTTTACCAGTTTTTGCAATTTGGATTTTTCTTGACAACGAGAAATTGAAATTGTTAAGGATGAAAAAGATCAGTAATACAAGATCTATAAATAAGTATAATGGTCGGAATTTTAAGACTACTCCTTTTTTGAGTTATCGTCCTTGAAAGACAAATTTTACCTAATTTTGTGTGTGTTTATGCGTACTATAGTGAACTATAGTAGATAGATTGAAACTGTGAATAGAAAGTATGATCAGCAGGACAAGATCTACAAACAGTTTCAAAAAGGCACAATGAAAGAGGCAACATGGCCAAAATGCTCAGTCGACTACTTTATAAGTTATTGGCATTGAGAAAGACGATTTTTGTCCATATTTGCGAGATTTTGTTTTATTAATTACAGTAAAAAGAGAGAAATTTTAATTACAAATATGATTTAACAAACAATATGAACTAATAGATCAACATAGCCTAAATCGTCAGTCGACTTGTTATAGGAGTTATGCTCCTGAATGACGATTTTTACCTATTTTTGCTTTTCTGAAAGAATTTATCAGAAATGTTCTGATTGTATTGTATCCATTTTATACCAAAATACCAGGGGAGCAAAACAGGTTCCATGCAGCCTCTATTTTTTAATATTTTATGAAATTTACGGGAAAAATGTTAAGACAGAAAATCAAGATAGCTATATGTATATCTAGTTACAATTTATCAAGGACTAATATTATATTCTGATCGTTAACCATTGTAAACATTCAGAACTTCCTTACACGACCTAATGAAGCAAATAACCCATGTCAGTACATCAGAGTCACTTTAAGAGCTTCTTCCATGACATTTCATACGGGATATGCATTTACAAAATAATATTATGCAGTTAAACTTAGTTAATCAAGGCAACAATGATCGTCAGGAAAGGTCTATATTAGGTAGGTAAAGTAAATTTTTTTTCTTGTGATTGAGGACAGGCAGCGAATATGATTGGTAATAATAACTGGTTTACGTTGTGTAATGATAGGCGATCCTCTTTTGTTTGAAGTTAGGTGCGAAAATCTTAAACAAGGGGATATTCTAACTGGTAGATCAAAGACAAACTGACACCGCTATGGCATAAAAAAAGACAAACGACGAAACGACAAAAATCACTTCCATAAAAGACAACTGGAAAACTAAACACACGAATCCCACCAAAAACGGGGGTGATGAAAAGAGCCAGGGAAAGGATATCAGATCGTGCTCCATATGCGGCACCCGTCATATTACTCATATATGCACAAAATGTGACAAAATCTCACTTCTATGTATCTATGATGAGTTTATTCTCAAACTTTAAGCAGTTTATTTGAGGAAAGTCAATATACGTTGGATGTACCGATGTTCCTTCGTCTCTCTGACAAAACAAATTTGAGTCCCTATGTTCATTTTAATTATTGATAGATTTCATAAACAATATTAGCGTATATAGATACTACAAATATGTCTGTTGTTAAAAATTCGAGATTTCTGGAAAATATTCGCGATTAAGAATTTTTAGGAATCTGATGATAATATTCATTCGAAAAAAAAAGTATAGATAAAACATAAGTTTTCATTAAATACTGTCTTGTGTTTTTGTGTCCTGGTTTTGTAGTTTACGTATTTTGTCGGGTACTTGATGACGGATAGCGCTTGACGTCTTGAGCAGAACAGTTTAATAATTTTATAATTTTATCTTTTTACTTGATTCAATTTCGGTGTGCTGGTTCATATTCTGGACGTCAGTCTTTGCTCCTTTCAATTAGAAATACGGATAACAAAACAAGAAACTCAGAAATGGAAAAATACTCATACCAAATTCGTTCAAAGGGTATCTCCAAAATCGCTTATCTAAAAATACCAAAATCGCTAACATTTTTAATAATAAAAATCGTGGTTACCCTTCTATCGATAACTGTCATGCCAAAAAATGACTTACATGTCTCCGTCTTTTCACCAACAATACGGTAAGGTCCACGTTTAATGCTTGATTTCTTGATTGACAAAATATTTGTTACGTTTGGAGGACGCGTTTTTCAACAGACTGTCAGAATTCCAATGGGAACAAATTGTGCCCCTCTTCTTGCCGACTTGTTTCTTTATTATTATGAGGCTGACTTCATACAGGAACTTCTTAGGAAGAAAGATAAAAAGTTAGCAATATCCTTTAATTTACGTTCCGCTATATAGATGATGTTCTCTCACAAAATAATACAAAATTTGGTGACTATGTTGAACGAATCTATCCCATCGAACTAGAGATAAAGGATACTACAGATACAGTTAAGTCTGCCTCATATCTTGACTTACATCTAGAAATTGACAATATGGGTCGGTTGAAAACAAAACTTAACGACAAAAGAGATGATTTCAGCTTCCCAATTGTGAACTTTCCATTTCTATGTAGCAACATTCCAGCAGCACCTGCATACGGAGTATATATCTCCCAATTGATACGATATTCCCGGGCTTGTATGTCCTATCATGATTTCCTTGATAGAGGATTGCTGCTCACAAGAAAGCTATTAAACCAAGAGTTCCAAATGGTGAAGTTGAAATCATCCCTTCGTAAATCTTACGGACGCCATAACGAGTTGGTTGACCGTTATAGAATAACCGTTTTACAGATGATATCGGATATGTTCCTTATGTCGTAACTGCAATACCCTTCCCTTTTCACGAATGTGACCTACCGAATTAGACTATTTACCGGATTTGTAATAACATAAGCAACACGATGGGTGCCACATGTGGAGCAGGATCTGCTTACCCTTCCGGAGAACCTGAGATCACCCCCAGTTTTTGGTGGGGTTCGTGTTGCTTAGTCTTTAGTTTTCTATGTTGTGTCATCTGTACTATTATTTGTCTGTTTGTCTTTTTATTTTTGGCCATGGCGTTGTCAGTTTGTTTTCGATCTATGAGTTTGACTGTCCCTCTGGTATCTTTCGTCCCTCTTTTAATGGTCGCACATTTCCCTTAATTTTGAAACTGATATAAATTGAAAAACTAAGAGTGTTATCTATTTACTTGCATGAAACAAACCGGGATGCGGTATTCAGTACGTAGGTGAAACCGGACGCTATTTATCTAAACGCACGCAAGAACATCTTTATCGTTTAAAAGACCCCATAAATTTAAAAGTATTATTTATCAACACCTTGAGAAGCACAATCATTCTATTAGGTATTTAACAGTTCAACCTTTTGAAGTAGTAAATCAGCAACCTGGGGAATCTTATTCAAAATTTGTACGATCACGGAAATTAATTGAATTAAATTGGATTAAAAAATTACAGACAGTCTATTCTCTCGGTCTTAATGATAATATCATGGGAATTGGCAATGTATCAAGAACCGATTCCGTTAACATTTTGGATATAGTTTCTAAAGCTGTTCGTAAAAACCGTTCTCATGGACGTAGAATAAATCGCAATCAGAGAAAATTTAGTACTAAGCATTACAAATATTTCCGACCTAATTCCTATTTTAACAAAATAACGGCAGACATTATCTGTTAACCAATTTCTGTTCTTTACCTGTTAATAAATTACTCAAATTTTGGACGATTGCAACACAAGTCCATATTGCAGTCCTAAGTATGAAATCGTCCAAATTATAATTGCATATTGTTATTCTAAACTTTTTCCCAAAATTGATCGCCCTGAAGACCATAAAAAATATTTCATTAAAAACAAATATGTCAATAAAGGTTTTGATTTTCCTTAATTTATAAAATAATTTCCGAAATTTTGCTACAGCACAAAATCCGTATTTTCATGTACGGACGTACTGGCTACTGGGCTGGTGATACCCTCGAGGATTATCAGTCCACCAGCAACGATATCGACCCAGTGGTAGTAATAGCATTAACGGAATACTAAGGCACATTATGATATACTTTAACGGTATACTAAGACACATTAATGATATACTAAGGCACATTATGTTTCTTCCAACTTGAACGAATTAAAATGCTATAAGTACCCAGAATTTATTATCCTTGTACAATCTGGTTTCGATGGGCCAAGTTGCTTTACAGCAGAATATTGAATTGAAACCATAACCTTCTACTTAAACTGACTACGAACGTCAAATGATTGCAATAACTCACACTGTCCCGATGGGGTAAGTAAAAGAAAATTGTAATTGACTTTCAACATTTTACCCGAATTTAACCTAAAATTGAGGAAGTCAATAAAATCCGAAAAAATCAAACGTTCGACTACTAGTATACAACAAACGGAACTAATGAACAAAAACATGGATTGTTTCATGGTAGTTGTTGTTTGCCACGTCGTCATGATCAGGAATTATTTCTATTCCAGACGTCGTCAGAAGATACTGATTGTCCTTAAATAGCACAATGGATGTAATAAAGTTGAAAGCAAAAGTAACATTAACGTTTGTTTTCATTTTTTCCACGTAACTTTAATATATTCATCTACTAATCAATATATATTTTCAAAACAAAATACGGTCATAATAAGTATCGAACACGATCTTTATTAATCTGATCTTTTCTTTTTTATAATGATATACTGAGGCACAATTAACACGACGTACCGTTATTCAATGCATGGCAGTTTTCCAAACTTTTTGTAAAAGAACACAGTATCTAAAATCATGAATATTGTATTCTTAAGATCGTCTATGTTATTTGAGTATTTCGATTTGTGTTCTCTTAAACGTTCTGCGTATTTTCAAAATAATCATGAAATTAACTGTTATGAATATAATTCTACTTCATTTCATTTTTTTAAGTAATGTTTTGTTTATTGTCTATAGTTTCAACGTTGAGACCATTTTGTTGAAGGAAATACTAGAAACCAGAGATTATAAAAAATATACCAGGAAGCCAACTGTAAACAAAAGCGAACCAATACAGGTAGAGATTGAAATAACGCTATTTACAATTCTTTCATTAGACATGAAGGACCAAATCCTGACAACTTCACTTGGTATAAAGATGTCATGGACAGATGAATTTTTGACGTGGAATAAGAGTACAAATGGAGAAACAAATTAAATAACAGCTCCAATATCAAAGATATGGAAACCTGATGTGTTTTTGACAAACTGTGCAGACAAATCCAATATTTTTGAAAATGATAAAAAACGTGTAAATATCTACAATAATGTACACTTGGAACGACACGATGTTATTGAAGTAAAAACGTATTGCTTTGTAGATGCAACAAGATATCAGTTTGAAACTGAAACTTGTTCATTAAATTTTACCGCCCAACATCTTGATAACAAGGAACAGATGCTTAACATTCGGTTGCCAGATAATTTTCTCAATCTGTTCAAATCGTATGATGAGTGACATATATCTAATCTGCATGACTCTGTTTCGTGAATTTTCATATTCTCTGCTGAATGCTAATTATCAAGATAAAATAAACAAAGAGCCCAACCCCAAATGGATTTTGGATGTTTTTTGTCAACTTTTCAAAAAAGGCTTACCGGTGCTTTTAGACACCTAGTTTACTATTTTGCATTAATTGCTTCATTTTCTTTAATTTTGACTTAAATTTACAAAAACAACTCCGTTTGAGTACATAAAAAGCTAAAATTGTAGTCAAAATACGCATTTGGACCTTCTCTGTCGACTATAGGTTAAGCAGCATTTGGCATTAATATGGTACACTATACAATAGATAACTGAAAGCCAAACAGAATTTTTCATTTCAGACGACTGAAGTGTATGCCATTGTTTTTCACAGGGAATATGGCACTTTTTCAAAATGCTTAATTAGCATTTTTTCCCTGGTATTTTTCAAATTCCACACTGCAATGTAAAAGAAAGTATGAAAATGCTTAGCTTAGACAGAAACTTCCGTTCAAATTCCATATGTGTACTTGATGGGTCCGGGTGGATTTCTTTAGTAGGTACACAACTAATATTTATAGGCCTCCAGTTGAGTCTAAAGTAAAATATGCGAATTTTGAAAAATTCCCCAAAAATCAAGGATCCAGTTTTCGTTTATATTATAGACTTTGCGTTTATGTATATGAGAGAGAGAGAGAGAGAGAGAGAGAGAGAGAGAGAGAGATAAAAATAACAACACCAAAACAATAGTAAATAAAAAAAAAATATGAAACAATATATTATACAAAATCAAATAAATATTTCGGATAACAAATGTCTGACTTGCAAGCATATACTGCGGACCAAGAATTTCAAGTCACTCGACCAATACGACATACATCATATATCCTATGTTATTTGCAAGAGTATACAAACGTATGAATGGCCATCGAATGACTATGACTGGAAGCCAGCACTCCCTCTTAAGTCCACCTTTTAGATCTTTTGGTCACTCTAAGGCAAATCTGAACTGACTGACTATTCCTATGATTAACCACAACAAATCAATGTCCTGAGAGGAGATAATCACTCGGGGTTCAAATCAAAACAAATCGAAAAGGAGCTTCCTTCCGTCAATTCTAATGCTGTGTTAAAGTCATATGAAAATTGTTGAAAGAGAATTAGAGTTATCGTACGAAGTGTGTACGGACGGACGGACGGGCATTGGTATACCATAATACGTCCCGTCTTCGACGGACGTATAAAGACTCTAAGCTTTCCGTCATTTGTTTACACTTAATTTGTATGTAGTCCAAGATTATTGAATTATAACTCTAACGATGTTAGGTATTTAATTTGTATGACGGCCACGATTTCGCAAAAATTAACATACAAAATACTAACTGTACGCTTGCTCTTTTTGCTCTGCATAAGTTGTTTACTTTCTGGGTTCAATAAGTCAATAACTATATCATTTTTAACAATCGAACTAACATAATGAACACAAATTCGGAAAGGTAATAGATATTTCATAATTGTTTGGATAGTTTTTCGGTGTTTCGTAATTCATATCATAGTTTTTGTTGAAACCCCTGGCCATAACCCCCACTAGATGAAGTCGAGTGAGATTGTCGAGGGGTTTCATTAAAAAAACTATGGTAATATATAATAAACGATACACCAAAAAATTATCCCAAAAAATATGAATTATCTGTTTTTAAAATTTTATATTGCATATTATTATTTTTCCTTTTCATAAAAAATCATTTTTGATTGGAATCATTTGAAACAGTTCCCTTTTCTAGCGTTACAAATAAAACCTCGCCTTTCTTTCTAAAAAAGCATGGACTTCTTGGACGGCTGGAACACCAGTTAGACAACATTCTTCGAAAGAATTTTGAAGTTATCTATATGCTGTGCGAGGAGGAAACGGACATTAGCTTATCTGTCTGTGTATTTCGCTGCATTGGAGATTCAGGAGAACGTATGAATTTCATGGACGAAAGAGACGAATGCAAAGGTTTTTTTTATCATTCAAAATTATTAATGTAATATGTTATCATTTTTGAATATTTATTTTATAAATCTGAGGGAATTATTTCACAAATATCGTAACTAGATTTTGAATGAATCATCACATGTCTTAATTTATACATTTGTATCAAAAGCGGGAAATTAATAAAAAACTAAATTGGAAAAAATGCTGCGTACAGATAGGCCTAAAAATTGAAGCTTCGTTTAGAGTAAACAGTTTATTTTGACAGTCTATCCTATATTTATTGCAACCTCATTCAAGTCACGATGACAGCAGTGTATTACACATTATTTTTTATCTATTTCCTTCCTATCTAATCTAACATTTTCAACATATAAACCTAAAACACAACTGTTATTAGGCGTTATAAGATAATTTCAATAACTTAATATCTATAATAAACATTATTATTTTTTCTTGGCTACCCAAACTAACTTTGCCATGTATGTTGTTTCGATTCCAACCCTATGCATATCGGCTGGATCAAATGGACAGATTGCCCAAGTGGCCCCATGCCGATTTTATTGTTCCTATGCAGCCGTCCGTGGCTTGTTTTGTTATGTTTCTGTCGAACATCAGAACAAAATTATGATATAATTGTGAAAATTAACCTTTTTTTTTAAATATAAACGGGGAACATATTTAATTGTAAACCATATGTTTAAAGTACACACTCTTGGATTGTTTCAGGATGTACATCACTAATTCATGGCCCCATTGCTTTCTATATTAAATTCCCCAATTTCAAGCAGGCCCAGCTCTTTTGTTTTACGTTCAAATAAAGTGACAATCATTGCATGTCAAAGCAACACTTTATGTTGTCTTGTACTGAAAAAAAAAACAACATACCTTTAATGGCATATAAGAAAGAACTGGTTCCCGGAACTTCGGATGTACCAAAACAGGTATTTCAGATCTGACAAACAGTCAAAATGTACCCTCTTTTTAAAATTTGGTGCAGTTTTTTTAATATTCAAACTTATAAGTCCAAAAGTGTTCTACAATGATCACCAGTCATTTAGCTTTCATTTGATACCAAAAATACCTAGATATTCTACATATTTTGAAAGTTACACTCATGGGTAGGAACTATCTTGTGTTAAATATGTACTACTTTCTGGTATGTGCTTTCTGGCCGGGCCCGAATTAGTGGTGTTACACCTTTCATAGGTAATCATAGTAGTGTTTGTTCACGCTACGTCGTCAAAAGATACTGAACGTCATTAAATAGTCCATTAATGAATGTAATAGAAATGAAAGTGAAAGAAACATAATTTGGTTTCGATTTATAGATTCTACTCGAGTTTCGTAAGTTTTCAATTTATATTTTTATTTCTGACATAATTTTCTTTAGAAAATACGAGAAGCGTGTTCTTGAACTTAAACCTACATGATTTCTTATCTGGTTATCGATGCAGTAATTTCTACAAGTAGGTTTAGTTTGTTTGCATTTGACACGTGATTTTTCAACAAATTCGAAGAATCCTTTTTCTTTAAATCAATAGCTTTCTTTTTCAAAACAAACTGTCTGTCATATTAGGTATCCAACAAAATCTTGTATGATCTAATCGTTTCTTTTTTATAATGGTATACTATAGAACAATCAATAGCAACGTAATAAATAATTTAATGTATGGCACTTTTCCAAACTGTTTGTCAACTAAAATTACGGAGTTTATGTACAATTGTATTCTTTTGAGATTTAAATCGTCTATATTAAGTATCTTAATCTTTGGTTTTCTTAAATTATGTGTGCAGTTTTAAAATAATTTAAAATGAACTAAAATGAATTTGATTCTTTTCCATCTTATCTGTATATGTAATGTTGTTGTGTTTATTGTCTATAGTGTGAACGTTGAAACCCTTTTGTTGAAGGACATACTGGACAATAGAGATTATAATAAATATATGAGGACGCCGACTGTTAATAAAAGCGAACCAATACAGGTAGAGATTGAAATTGCGCTAAACACAATTCATTCATTAGACATGAAGAACCAAATCCTGACAACTTCGTTTGGTATAAAGATGTCATGGACAGATGAATTTTTGACGTGGAATAAGAGTGACTACGGAGAAACGAATGCAATAACAGCTCCAATATCAAAGATATGGACGCCTGATGTGTTGCTTACAAATTATGCAGACAAATCCAATATTTTTGAAGATAATGATAAACGTGTTTATATCTACAGTAATGGGCTGGTAGAACGGCGTGATGATATTGAAGTTAAAACTTATTGCGTTGTAAATCCAACAAGATATCCGTTTGAAACTGAAACCTGTACATTAAATTTTAGAGCCCAAAATCTTGATAACAAGGAACAGATGTTAAGCATTGGATTGCCAGCTAATTTCCTGAATCTATTTAAATCAAATGGTGAGTGGCATATATCTAAACCTGACAAAATAAGACATTATACAACAATAGAACATGTTAATGGAAGAAACTTCTCTGTAGTGATCTTACACATAGAAATGGATCGCAGACAAACATATTACGTATGGAGATTCCTTGCTCCAACTGTTGCTATTACATTTATAAATATTGTAACTTTTTGGCTACCAGTGGAAAGCGGAGCCAAAGTCACGTTATCAACATTTGTTATATTGGGTTTTACAGCAATGATTGAGTTATTTAACGAATCCTTACCAAGCACTTCTGACAAACCTTCTTACTTTGGAAGGTTGTTATGGTGGTTACTTGGTATAAGCGGAATCATTCTCATATTGAATGTCATTATAATTGCAATTTTCTACCGCAAATGTGGTATATGTGCAAGACTTTGCTCGATATGCAACAGTAAAAAGAAAGGTGATAATAAGAATGCAGATCAGGAAAAAATCAATTTGCAAAAAATCACAATTTGTTCTTCAGGAATTTGTTCACCGTGCTGCTCTGAAAACGAAGATGACATAGGGATTACAGAACTTAAGTATGTAAAATCGCAAGAAGAATCAATACATCACCAAGGTTCCAATCCGGAAAACGTTTGTATGTTTATATTTAATGTTAAGTAACTTAAAGTATACTCTTTGGTGACATTTCCATCAGTCGCATCCATTTGATGGTCAAATAAAATAGAGAATGGATACAGGGAATGTGTCAAAGAGACAACAACCCGACCAAAGAGCAGAAAACAGCCCAAGGCCACCAATGGGTCTTCAACACAGCAAAAATATCCTGCACCCGGAGGCAGGCTTCGGCTGGCCACTAAACAAAAATGTGTACTAGTTCAGTGAAAATGGACGTCACACTAAACTCCGAAACATGTTATTACAACAAAAATTAAAAAACGCTTACAAAACTTACAAAGGCCAGAGGCTCTTGACTTGGGACAGATGCAAAATGGCTACGGGTTATACATGTTTTGTGAGATCTGAACTCTCCATATACCTCTAGCCAATGTAGAATACACAAACACACAGCAATACGCACAGTAAAATTCAGTTTACAAGCAGTCCGAGTCTGATGTCAGAATAAGTAAACAGAAGAAACTAAGCAAAATGACAATGATATATAGATTAACAAAGGACTACTAGCAAATGTTTCGTTTCTTTTAGTATAACCTCGACTAAACACTTAAAAACTGTTTTATGCATGCAAACCAGGTTACGATAATCCTGTCGACAAATACTGTCTCGCTCTGTTTGGAGTTCATGCGATTCCCTCAGTTTCTGTTTGTTTTCTTGACGCAAGGTTTTGATTCTGTGCTTTAATCATTTGAAATGCTTGTAGGATTTCTTTCTGTTTAATTCCTAAGAACTTGTATACACACATAAACAACAATCAATCAATCAAATTATTTTCTTTATATTGATACGCATTTGACTTGTTTCTGTATCTTTACACGCATAGATAGGAATAAGACATCAAAGGCGTATACACAACTACTATTAACAAACTAAATGGACAAAGTTTATACTTTTCAACATCCTTGTCGATGGTCTTAATATATATAGTTTTTCCCAAGATAAATGATATTATTCTGTTCAGTGCATGACACCTTATAATTGTTTTTCCTTCTGGTATTTATTATCAATTATAAGGAGATGCTCCTCAGTTGTAGATATACAAGACAATCGCAACCCATCCTAGCTTTCTCTCAAATACTTTCGGGAATGAGACATCTGATTTGTTTTAAAGAATAACATTGACGAAAGCAATGTAGAGTTATAAATGCACATTTCGACAATTGATATCTCTCAAGGCCAAAACACAAACGTTAATGGGTTGCCAAAAATCCCAAAATTACGGAAAGTATTGCCACACCATAACAAAATGTCAGAAATCTACATGCGAGAGGTACATTTCTAAATTTAGAATTTTGTTCAACGTCGATTTCTCATATACGGAAAAGTTCACTCATCCATTACAACAAAAAAGACACCAAGTACAGATCTGAGAGTACTCGCATATACTGACAGCTAGTTCAAAGCCAATAACAACTAATAAAAAATCACGTAGCTAAGACTAAAACATCAATCAGTACACATCCAACATCTAATCGATTTAGTGTAAAGACGTCATTTACAGTCACCTTGTGCAATGCCAAAATATAGGTATCGACAGATTGTAGTACCGTGAAAGTAACTATGTGTAATATTCAGTATGGTTTTAATTTACTGATAACAAAATCAATATTAGTACCAATAAAAACAACATTCAATGATTTAACTACAGTGTAACCTTTTCGAATAAGTTTATTTAAAGGATTGATATGTTTACCCGGATCGTATCTAAATTTCCGGGCTCAGCTTTAGGATATTCTATTCCGTTTGAATTAGTTTTCTACAGGTACAGCCAAACTTACAGACCAAATCTTTGTATCTATAGAAGAATTTAGTAAAGGTTTAAGTAATTTTTGGTAACAAAGTCCCTGACTGAATAATTTATTAGCAATACATAGATTACGCTCATTAAAATCCAAAACGTCACTACACACACGAGCATAGCGAACATGTTGTGATATATAAACACCGTAAGACGGTGCCAAAGGAACATCACCGTCCAAAAAGAGAAAATTAAGAATAGGGAAAGAAAAAATCATCGCTTTTGCGTAAATTTTTCTGTAGAATTTCTAGTGTAATACTGAGATATCTAAATCTAGGAAAGGAAATGTATTGCTGTTAAAATTTGATTCATTTAAAGTTAGTTCCCTTGGGTAAATTTCAGCAGTATATTTAGAGAATTCTTGATTATTTAACGAAAACATATCATCAAGATAACGGTAAGTGTTGTTGAATTTATCAATTAAATGTAATTTAATTTAATTTGGGTTCTCTACTGTGTTTGTCCATAAACTGTGATTCATAACAGTAAAATAACAAGTCTACTATTAATTGGGCACAATTGATGCCCATAGGAATAATTACAACCAGTCGATAAACTTTATTGCCGAATCGTTTATAAATGTTGCAAAGAAGATAATTAAGCGCTTTAATCATCTCATCACACATCCAGTAAGTATATGTAGCATATTTACCTTTTTCATGAAAAAACAAGGTTTAATATGATTTGCAGCAAATAAATTTACATTCAGAATTTATATCAAACGACCATTTAATTAGATAGGAACATTTTTGTTAGATCAGAAAAAAGTAAAATAACAAAAATACCGAACTCCGAGGAAAAATTAAAACGGAAAATCCCTAATCAAATGGCAAATTCAAAAGCTCAAACACATCAAACGAATGGATAACAACTGTCATATTCCTAACTTGGTACATGCATTTTCTCTTGTAGAAAATGGTGAATTAAACCTGGTTTTATAACAAGCTAAACCTCTCACTTGTATGGCAGTCGCATAAAAATCCATTATATTGACAATGATATTGAACAAAACAAACAGACACAATAGGTAAAAATGTCAAAAATAGGGGTACAGCAGTCAGTATTGTGTTATAATCTTAATCGTTATAAAAAACAAACAATTATGTCAGCATAATCTTAGTCACTATAAAAACAAACAATTATGTCAACAAGATTGTGTGGAAGTGTAGAATAAAGATTGGAAAAGCCAAAACTTTCAATCGAATCAAAGGGACCATCAAAAGCACGTATTTTATCTAAAACATATAAAGAATGTGTTACACTCCAAAAATGGTTATTTCCACTATTTTCATATATTTTAATACAAAAATTAAGTTTTGTTGATAGTAATTAAGGAACTCGTTAAATGCACCGAACACTTAGTAGAAAACACTTACTAGAGGCCGAGATGAAACGATGTTTAACGGGTTTTTTGTGTAGTTTAGGTAACGAATACATACATTTTGTAGTAAGGACCTTCAAATGTTCAGAGGAGGCCTTAAGCTGAACTGTGGTAGTAAAAAGATTACATGTTTGACCCCATCACATTCTATATTTTCCTTTTCCAAGCCAAGAGCCTATAATTAAGAAGTTATCATCGGATGCTGTCTGCAATATTTGTTTTTTACGTTTTTGTCAGATATTGTTTATTCTTGATTGTTCATGCACAAAACTTATTTCGCTGTCTCGTTCCGTTTCTGTTGTCATTAGATCCAATAAATACAATTCCTTAATTCAAACATTTTTATTAAGTGTTAATGTCGTTAATACTGCAACTAACTTTCTGCAAATGTCCTATCGGATAAAGACTTTGTTCAATATCTAACTATGTGAAAGAACAGGACAATTCGAATGCCAAAATTATTACAAACAAAGTATTTTTTAAATCAAAAAACTGTTTTACAGGTTTTTCGGGAATAGAAGAGGACAGACAGGAAACAGAACTAAAGTATGTTCAATCGCAAGAAAACCCAACCAATCAACCGGGTACCAGTCAGGAACATGTTGGTATGTTCATTTATAATTTGAAGTAGCTGAAATCATACTATTTGAAACTCTTTTGGAATAACCCCGCTAAAAATCCGTTTTTTTAAGAACGCTAGGTATCGACTTTAATATTCAATAAAGCTAATTGAAATATTTTTATGAATTCTTCCTGTTTAAATTCTGGGTGAGCTGGTAAATCCACAAGAACCAACAATCAATCAAATTATTTTTATAATATTATTAAGCCTTTTATTTAGCTTCTGTCTCATTGTGTTTAACAATTGGGATAGAATGAAAATGTGTACAGAAACAAAATGAGCATCGCTGTACAACCCACTTATTTTTCACGTGCTATATTATTCTGTGTTGATTTTTTTTTATTAATGTGACGATTTGAAAAAACCTCTGTTCCAAATATCGAAAGAAAACTCTGAGCCAAAGTTTTCATTCATAATAACACCTTATGTAAGAATCCTTGGTTTTGATTGGTTGATAGCCAGTGTATTTGTCACCAATTTACTTTTATCAAATGAATATCGTTCATTTTAACAGCGCCGGGGTATATTCAAAAAGGATATGCCTTTCTTACCCTCTCTGCCGTGGTATTTGCCAAAAATACTCTATCCGACTGGACGCTTGTAATGTCACGATCATCAATGCGTTTTATGTCACGATCATCAATGCCTTTTGTACGTTAGCATTCGGTGTAATTAAACAGATAAAGCATGTTCTTGAGGGGTATTTGCGAAAAATACCAGTCTTGAGAATGAATTTTCCTCGCCTTACGGCTCGCGAAATTTAACATTCTCTCGACTGGTATTTTTCGCAAATACCCCTCCTTAACATGATATATCTGTTCAACAGTCACCGAGTGAAACATGTTTTGTCTATTATACCTTATGGGTTCATTATAATGTGACAAAATGTCCACAGAGGACTTAGTGTAGTATAGTATGCATGCAATGGTTCAATAAGTTCTTTAACATCATGATCTTATAATGAGTAAATCGTTTAATATGACTTTAATTTAAGATTTCAAGAAGTGTTGACCATACCACCTTATCAAATCTCCGCCACTTTAAGCGCTTTAATGGAATGGTGAAATATTTGCAGTTCCTTTGATAAGCCTTGCCAAATCACGTGAAACCTGTTTTAGTTACACTAGATTTTCTAGTCTGCTGTTCTTTATAATTTGGCATATTGTCTTTGGACTGAAATTGAAAATTTAAGCTTTTGTGATATTTCGGCAATTCCTCCTGTTTAAATCCCACGGCCTTGTACTGCTATCAGAACGAAAGATACACGTTTTTTATGTTCCCCATTGCTATTACTACTATTGTTTTTTACTATTGTGTTCAGCAGATTTTTGCCTTGTTTTTAAAATTGCCATTTCAATACAATGGAGTTTGCCTTTATCTACAGCAGATTTTGATCTGTGTTGCCTACAGCATTTACAGTATCGACAGTATCGACAGTCGGTAATAGAAAACAAAAAAGAGAGAAGATAAAAAGTAGGCATTCGATAATTCATATAACCTAGACAACACCATGGTAAAAAAAAAAGATTGGTGTACGGTTTTGTTGATCAGTACTTTAGTTTTCTGTTTTGTGTTGTGTGTACTGTTGTGTGAACCTTTTTTTTTGCCATGGAATTGTCAGTTTGTTTTCGACTAAAGAGTGTGAAAATCCCATCGGTATCTTTCGACTATCTTTTAAAAGCGGAGAAATACAATTATGTGATAGAAACTTTAAGACTGAGCAACATGAACCATACTTAAACACTGGTATGAACTCATGTACTCCACAAAGGTAAGCAGGTCCTGCTCCACCTGTGGCACGATTTTCATTGCAGGGTTTGAATCATAGACGGAGAAATGGGCTTAGATTATAACTCAATATCAACAACAGGTATCGCGGTGTAATGTCGAAATGTAAGCATTTTGAGGTTAGGGAATGATTTTACAATCTCACTTTCGACTTTCAGCTTACGCACGTTTTACCTCTCATAAATGAATGTCCTATTTAGGGTTCGAACTTTGCGCGTGATTTTTTCAATAATCATCATAGTTTCCGTTCGTGCATGATACCTTTTGTCCACGATTCCTGACATTCAATTAAAAATGACTGATATTTTATAAACGCTTGATTGATTACTCTTGTCCATATATTCATAACACATGTGTTGCTATTTCATTGAGCCTTTTTTTTTTACATCCAATACCATACTATGGAAAGTGCGAATTGAGAATACCGTTTTTTGTCATGTGGAGTGTGATATTTAGTTACATACAGTTATAAATATGAAGAGACTGCATGAGAAAAAGGATGATTTTGGCAATGAAAAATATATTTAATATATAAAAAATATCATTATATTAAGTACCGAGTCAAATCACGCGAAAAACAGGAGAGTTTTATGTATAACAATAAATCAATAGAGTCTGAAATCGGTTATTTTCTGCCTTTGTCGTTTAAAATGAAATAAATTCAGTGCATCTCTTAAAAGAGAAACAAGTCTATATTCTTTATGGGTATAAAAACTGTCAACATATCGTTTAAATATAAACCCCAATTATGTCTTGAAACATGTTGAATAGTAAAATAATAGCAAAAGTACATGTTCGTGGCAACATTGTAGTGTTATGATTTTCTTATGTAAAGAAAATGATTTATTTTATTGTAGATGCTGTATTTTGTAATTACAGTATTTTTGTATTGTAATTAAAAGTTTATTTTTATATCAGGTATCAGTTCGTCTCACTGCTAAGCGTTAACATTAATTTTTAAAACATCTTTCGAAATTCTTCATTGTTCTTCTAACATGATTTTATTAGATTAAAGTTTTATTTACATAATTAGTTTTAACCATTGTATCTTTCATGTCCCGGAAAACGGGAACTATACATCTGTCTTTGTTTGGAATAATACTTTTGCCACGTGCAAATTCATTGTAAGGTTTTATTGCTAGCCTTTTAGATTGTATCGTCTCTCTAAATACTTCTTTCTCTTTAGAAATAAAATTTCTTTGTCTTTATGGCCTATGATATAATCGAGTACGGGCGAATATTGAATGTAGCCAAATTTAAATTCCGCCAAAGAACCATTTTTAAAAATGGAATTACTCAGTATAGTCATAGGAACATGTATTATGGACTTGGCAGGTGATACAGTGCAATATTGATAGAGAAAACCAAAATTTATCAAATCTCAGTCAAACTCAGTATGGATCCGTCTGAATTCCATTTAATTCATCAAATTAATAACACTTATTGTTACCGTGATTAGTGTTTGCTTGAAACAATTCTCTATTCATACTGCTGTAATTTACCAAGGGAAACTTTTTTAGATAAATTTAACATTAACAGCAATAATTGTCCTTTTTTAGATTTGGATATTTGAGAGAAAATCAAAGCAAAACTTACGAAATAAAGATACTATTTACGTTCCTTATTGTTAATTTTCCATTTTTGGACGGCGATGTTCCTTTGGTTCATTCCTACGGTGTATATATTCCCCACCTTATTCACTATGCCCGTGTCTGTAGTGACGTTTTAGATTTGAATGAACGAAATCTGTGTATAACTGGTAAATTATCAAAGTCATATAAAACGAGTTTCAGGTTATTATAATATCTATAGGAAATAATTGAACCTATGCATGCATTTGTTTAACCCCGCCACATTCTGTATGTGCCTGTCCCAAGTCATGAGCCTGTATGTAGTTAAGTGGTTGTCGTGTTTGCTGTTTATCATATTTGTTTTTTCGTTTATTGTTTTGTACATAAATCAGGCCATTAGTGCTCTCATTTGGATTGTTTTACATTTGTCATTTCGGGGTCTTTTATAGCTTACTATAAGGTATGTGTTTTGCTCATTGTTGAAGTCCGTACGGTGACCTATAGTTGGTAGCTCCAACATCATTTGGTCTCTGGTGGAGAGTTTTCTCATTGGTAAGAGAGGCAAAAGATACTAAAGGGACATTCAAACTCATAAGTCGAAAATAAACTGACAATGCCATGGATACAAAAGAAAAAGACAAACAGAAAAACAGAAAAATATCAGTACACAAAACACAACATAGAAAACTAAAGACAACATAGTAATCGACAAAAAAACGCTTCATTCTGTGATTATTGACAACTTTGGCTGCTAATTAACTTAAAGGTTTTGGTGCAGGAGTTACCCGATTGTTACCTGTTGACATATGATTAACACAAAATCATGGAGCACGTGAACAATAATGAGATGATTAAGCAATGTGTATTTGTTTTATCTATATTTTCAATGCGTTCCCATTTGTTAATTAAACTTTGTCATAATAGGATGGAGAGTTGTCTCATTGGCACTCATATCACATCTTTTTATTTCTATTTGATGTATCAACAGTTTTCTTTCTGAATCGATTTATTTTATCTTCTCTCATCATTTGTTTACCTTTTCTTTCTTCGCGGTTTTCCCCCTCGCGCTTGTGCTATGCGGTTGCCGAAGTGTCATGGTTAAGGTCACTGCATACGGATAAGCTGTCGGTGAATTAGAGTACAGGATGAAAATTTCAGTACATTTCTGAAGATGGGGATAAAATATATGTTGATTTTCTTTTAAAAGAACGTTTATACGTGTTTTAAAGTACAACTTAGCCATTGAAGTATGTAAAACATATTAAACTTTTTTTTAATTTGTATCATGTGATTTTAAGTCAGGGGTTTCGTTAAAATACATAACGTAAACCCTTTACTAAATTATCATAGTTACAAAGAAATGGTTTCGAAGTGTGGCTGTACCTGTAGAATTATTATTTAAAACAGAATATAACTTCCTAATGTTTTCAGTTTATATAGTTTATAAAGCATGTACCTATCTATACTTTTGTCTTGGAGATCATGATTTATTTGGTAGCTGTTATTAACTTTTAACTAACTTTTAATATATGTTGAAGGGTTCATTCTGAATGTGCCTGTCCAAAGTAGGCAGCCTGTAATGCAGTGGTTGTCGTTGGTTGCTGTCTGTTACATCTGTTTTCGTTAATTGTTTTGTCATAAAACACGCCGTTGATTTTGTTTGTTTGAATCGTTTCACTTTTTGTCATGTCGGGTCCAGTTATACTGAGTGTGTTATTTAAGGTAAGGATTTTTGCGCATTGTTTTGAGGCCTTATGTTGACATATTATTGCTTCAATCCACGACATTTGAACTCTGTTGGATAGATGTCACATTGGCAATCATACCCAATCTCCTCAATGTATACCATGTACGACGTTTCAGTGATCATGATATACATATTCCATCTAACCTTTCGTGAATAAAAGCCGATGTTTCTTGTTTGATTGGATTGAATGGTGCCCTATGAAAAAATTTTCCCATTTCTTTGAGAAAAATATGGCATTAAAAAGTTTTTCATAAAAAAAAACATTGCTATTCTATTAGAAAAATATCACATTCATATAAGAAAATATAGCTATATTAATTTATTACACGTGATTATGGTTTACAATGAAATCAAGCACATTGAAAGAGCATTGCACTGTCTTTGTTGCATGATTGTCATAGTATTTATACACTTCAAAATTATAGATAGTGGAAATATGTTGATTTAATCTCTAGGCCTCTTTTCTAGTATTAATATAACATGCTAGGAATTAGCTGTACGCAATGCATGGAAAGTTATACAGCCATTTTTGTCCTGTTAAATACATCACTGTTTTAGAAAGGAAAAACAATTATTTAGCAAAAAATGTTCTTTTATTCAAACACATTTTCCAACATTGATCTCGTTTACAATAGAAAACATCGCTACTCCACATGAGAACAGTTTTCTCGATTCACACTTTACATGGACTGAATATATATCATGCCTTAGGTTTTTTGTCTCATTTTTGAAATATTTATCTTATTGCAATGACAGCTAGTCTTTCTGACTGTCTGGAAAATAGTTATCAAAGTTTTTTCTTTTTATTATTTCTAATTATGCTATAACTATTTCAGCCTTACATAAAATAATAAGATATGACATGTTTTGGACACATATTTGTTATTTACATGTAGGAATCAATTGAAGTTAGAGAACTAGTACGTAAAAACAATCCCGGTGCAGCGTGTCATACTGGTACAGCATATGGTATATGATCGGTATCTACATGTCCTAATTCTGAGAATGCATGTGGGAGCTGTTCTCGACATCGTTCTCGCCCTTTATATAAATGCCACCGCATGTTTGTATTTCAAAGAATGCTTTCCTAATTCCGGCAGCTTATTACCATATTGAAGGCATTAATATGCTGAATCTCAAACTGCAGAAAAATCAGGATACTGTTTAAAAGAGTAGATCCTAAAAACTTAGTTGAACGTGTAATTCATTCGTTTATATCACTTATGTTACATTATGTATTATATGTAATTACTTTCCTGACTAAATCTCACTGCAAATTAGTTATCCTCTTAATACATAGCATTGTAAGATTGTCATTACCTTTTAAGGAAATGGGATCCCCAAAAGCTTTCCCTCATCTCTTGTTCGTCCCTACAGGTATGGGGAAAGCAGGTGAAAGTACAACTTAAAACACTGGTAAATAGGAATGTTGTATAGTATAGTAAATATTATACTAATATTCATACCCATAGAAATAGCAAAATAACAATCGTCTAACTTGAAATGTAATAAAATTCTGACATAGTTTAACATTTGTTATTTAAACGTAACTAAATATGTATTTTATTGTGTTTCAGATGATATTGTGATTTTAATAGAAGACAAGAAAAACAGGAAAAAAGAAGATAATTTAGATGAAACGAAGAAAAATGAAATAAAGAAAAAAAGAAGGAAACAAAAGGCTTCAAAATATGATAAAATATGTTATGTTCTTATGCTTTTAGCATATGGAAGCGTGTATACTTTTTTCTGTTATAAACTTTTTGTTGAAAGGGAAAATGAAAATGTTGCATAAGAGAACTAAAACTTTCATTTCACACAAGACCACAGCCTACATTGTTATTTTACATTCTACAAATATGACGGTGTACGGATTTTTTTTACCCTGTACAAATGTGGTAGTGTAAGTAGACGTTTTTACATTGTACAGATTTGACGGGTGTCAGGTAGTTTGTTTACATTATCGTGATTTATTATTAATTTTTTTTTTAAATATTCACTATCTTAATTCACAACATAAAATATTCTTTCTGTTATTTAAAAGATTCAGATCTATGCAATGAATAAAAGACATTCAATTGTCAAAAACTGACGTTAAAAGTTTCAATCGTCGATTGCGTTAATTTCCCTTAAAGATCATCTTTGCTTTGTGAAAGGACATCTAAGAGATATAAAAAATCATTCATTTTACTAGTTTTTAATTTCATTCAATGAAACAAATCATTATTAGAAATCCCAGTCTTTTCGTACAGACCAACATTCACAGTAAACCAATAAATATTATCTTGAAGATTAAATTAATAAATTACTTAAAATATCACGTGTTTCTTTGATATTTTATATCGGCTTCGGCGGAGAAAAAAAAATGCATATAATAAAAGAAACAACCCAGCAATTTCCGAAAGCAGTTTTGTAATTAGGGGTCAGAAAAGGGTCAAAAACAATTATCTATCTGGTTTTAAGAAATTCCCTTGAGTATAAGAGATATTTATTTGGGCAATATTTTAGCACAGAACCACAACAATAGGAAGGTTGGGATTAATTTTTGCGTTATTGTCATAGCTGTTAAGGAATTAGGGGCAAAAAACGGTCTAACAAAAACAATATTTTGTCAGGTTCATAGCTATAGACAATAACTTGAGTATAAGTGTATAACTCTCTATTATATTCTAGCACAAGGCTCCATATAACATTAGGAAGGTTGGGATTTATTTTGGGGGTTATTGTCGTAGCTGTTTAAGAATTAGGGACCAAAAAGGGGCCAAGAACAAGCATTTTTCATGTTTCAGGACAATAATTGGTGTACAAGAGTAAAGGTTTCTATGAAAGTTTACCACAAGGTTCCATACTTCAAAAGGAAAGTTTGGAATGATTTTTGGAGGTTCATGGCCCATATCGTTTAATAACTAGGGGTCAAAAAGAGACAGAAAATAACTATGTTTCTTCTTTGCAGGCAATAACTTGAGTATAAGTGTATGGATCTCTATTCAATTTTAGCACAAGGTTCCATACCACAATAGGAAGGTTGGGGTTTATTTTGGGAGGTTATTATAGTAGCTGTTTAGGAATTAGGGGCAAAAAAGGGCCTAACAAAAACAATTATTTGTCTAGTTCACAGATAATAACTTGAGTATAACTGTATAGATCTGTAATAAATTTAAGCACAAGGTTCCATTCCACAATAGGAATGTTGGGATTATTTTAGGGGTTATTGGTGTAGCTGTTTAGTAATTAATGACCAAAAAGAGTTCGTAAAGAAGAATTGTTCATGTTTTAGGACACTTATTTGTGTATTAGAGTTTGGATTTCTATGAATTTTACTACAAGGTTCCATACTTTTAAAGACAAGTCGGGATTGATTTTAGGGGTCAAGGTCCAAACCGTTCAATAATAGGGGCTTAAAAGGGGGCCAAAAACTAGGGATTTTCTGATTTGTGGACAATAACTTGAGTATAAGTCTATATATTGCTATTCAATTGTGTCACAAGGTGTAATAACATAAAATAAAGTTTGGGATTGATTTTAGGGGTTATGACCCTATCGGTTTAGTTAAAAAGGGCCAAAACCAATACTTTTAGAAACTGCTTATTTTTTTTTAGCAATTTCAATGGGGTTTAATTCAAAAGTCTTGAATTCTTGAGAGTCTTTTATATGCTGAATCTAATTGGGTATTTGATATTTGGATTTTAGGGTCTGTTTTTGAAATGATTCATATTAAGGTCAAAAGGGTCCAAAATTTAACTTTTTGTTTGAATTCTTTAAAAATTAAATTAAAGATATGCCTTGATATGCTGAATCTAATTTTAAAATTGAAAATGGCCACCAACGGGTCTTCAACACAGCAAGAAAATCCCGCACCCGGAAACGGGCTTCAGCTGGGCACTAAATAAAGATGTGTACTATTTAAGTGAAAATGGACGTCATACTAAACTCCAAAACATATAAATGAACAAATATGCTAGATATACTTACTGGAGGTGTGATGAGATGATTGAAGCTGTTAATTTTCTCCTTGATAATATTTATGTACGTTTCGACAGCAAAGTTAATCGACAGGTTGTAGGTATTCCTATGGGCACTAATTGCGCCCCTTCAATAGCAGACTTGTTTTTCTACTGTTATGAATCACAATTCATGACAAAACTCAGTAAAAACCGGTCTAAATTGCATTTAATTGATAAATTCAACAACACTTACCGTTATCTTAATGATATTTTTTCGTTAAATAATCAAGAATTTTCTCAATATACTGCCGAAATTTACCCAAAGGAACTTACTTTAAATGAATCAAATTTAAACGGTAACAACTGTCCTTTCTTAGATTTAGATATTTCGGTTTTACACAGGAAACTCCACACTAAAATTTACGACAAAAGGGACGATTTTTCGTTCCCTATTGTTAATTTTCCCTTTTTCGATGGTGATGTTCCTTTGGCACCATCTTACGGTGTTTATATTTTACAACTCGTTCGCTATGCCCGTGTCTGTTGTGACGATTTTGATTTTTACGAACGTAATCTATGTATTACTGGTAAATTATTACGCCAGGGACTTCGTTACCACAAATTACTTAAAACCTTTACCAAATTCTTCCATAGATATAAAGATTTGGTTTGGAAGTTTGGTTGTACCTGTAGAAAACTTATTTCAAACGGGATTGCACATCCTCATTTTTACGGCAATATTGTTTACCGTGCCCGGAAATTTAGAAACGATCCTGGTAAACGTATCGATCCTTTTAATAAACTTATTCTAAAAGGTTACCAATTCAACACTGTAATTAGATCATTAAATATTGTTTTTATTGGTACTAATATTGATTTTGTTATCAGTAAATTAAAAGCAAAACTAAATATTATTGTCATATACATATACACATTCATGGATCTACAATCTGTCGAAACCTGTATCTTGGCATTGCACAAGGTCATGTTTTTCTCTGACTGTTTATGACGTCTTTACACTAAATCCATTGGATGTTGGATGTGTACGGATTGATAATTTAGTCTTAGATGCATGTATTTTTTTTTATTATAGTGGCTTTGAACTAGCTGTCAGTAACTGCGAGTACTCTCAGATCTGTACTTAGTGTCTTTTTGTTGTTTGGATGTACAAGTACCCGGCCACGTCCACTTGTATTTGTAGTATTTGTATTTTTATCCATCTGATGAGTTAAGCCTCTTTCAACTGATTTTATAGTTCGTTCTTATGTTGTACTGTTACACCGCTGTCCCAGGTTATGGGGAGGGTTGGGATCCCGCTAACATGTTTAACCCAGCCACATTCTGTATGTATGTGCCTGTCCCAAGTCAGGAGCCTGTAATTCAGTGGTTGTTTGACATGCTGAATCTGAGAGTGTATTTAGATTTTTGATTTGGGGCATGGTCGGCCCACATTAAGGTCCAAAGGATCCCGAATTAAACTTTTTTGGATTTAAAAAAAAAGGTTGGTGTTCTTTGATAAGCTGAATCTAAACGTGTGATTAGAAATATTTGATTTTGGGCATAGTTTTCAAGATGGTCTAAATTGGGGTCCAAAATTGAACATTGTTTGTGTTATTTAATATGGTCAAATCCAACAGTGTTCTAGATTTTTTGATTTTGTGCTTGGTTTTCAAATTGGGTCCAAAATTAAACTTTGATTGATTTCTTCAAAAATTAAATCATTGGTGTTCTGTAATGTGTGCAATCTTACAGTGTTGTTGACTTTTGGTCCGTTTTTAAAACTGGATCCCATAAAGGTCCAAATTAACCAAAATAAAACTTAATTTGATTTTAACAAAAAGATAAACAATGTGGTTATTTGATATGCTGAATCCAACCATGATTTTAGAATTTGAATATTGGACCATAATTGGTAAATGTCTAATTTTAAAATTATTTTAAAACTTATACCACATTCATTCAGTGACAGAAACTATGCTTTTATTTCATATTTCCTCAGAATTTAAATTCTTAGATGTTATTGCACAATTAATCATATCTAATTTTATTTGGCCTTTTAACTTTTTTGGATTCGAGCGTCACTGATGAGTCTTTTGTAGACGAAACGCGCGTCTGGCGTAAATACAAAATTTAATCCTGGTATCTATGATGAGTTTATTTAGAGAAGTATTTTTGTGGTTACTTCACTGTTTCATGGAAAATGAATAAAATAACTTTAGTATAAGTGTATGGATGTGTAAGAAATTTTAGCACAAGGTTCCATACCCTAATTGGAGGGTTGGGATATTAAATAGTTAATCAAGCTCTACATGTTTAGATTTATTGTAAACTAATAGATAATTCAAATACATAAGAACATTTTAAAAGCAAGATATAATTTGAAAATGCAAATTGTCATACAGATGTGAAGTTCATCTTGTGAGTTATTTTGCACTTACATTTATCACACATTTCAAGTTACTAAAATAAAAGAACAAAAAAGGGGGGGGTTGAAAATTTAAATAGAGTTTTCATTTAAAATTTACGAATGAATAAAAATTCCTGCAATGTTTTTGTTCAAAACATGAAATATAATTTCAGGTAAAAAAGGGGGGTTGAAAAATTATAATAAAATTTTCATTTAAACTTTACAAATGAATAAAAATGTCATGATTCACAATTTATTCTTTTAATACATAATATAGTAATAATAATAATGAAAATTTATAAAGCGCCCTATATAAAAAATAAAATTACTCTAAGGCGCTGTACATTCAACATGGTAATGAAAACAAATCAATGACAAAAACATAAAACATACATTGTGTCAGATTCAAATACTGAAAAATAAACAAAATACAACAAAAATGCCTACCATAAAATAAAAGGTCAATACGCAAATACATGTTAAAACAGAAAATTTAAAAATTATCAATATAGGCTAAAAGCATGCAAAACAAGCAAAAACTCTAAAAAGGAA